ACTAATTAGAAATTTAAGCTGTTAAATACCTAGCACATAAACTACATGAAACAGATGAGATTTAAACATCTAAAATTAAGAAACCACTGAAAATGTGCATCAAGCCCAAGGATGATATCTGTAATATACCTAAAGACTCAAGAATGAAGACAGGCTCTTAGAACAGTTTTTCAAAATCTGGTATGAATAGAATAGAATAGAATAGAATAGAATAGAATAGAATAGAATAGAATAGAATAGAATAGAATAGAATAGAATAGAATAGAATAGTTCAGTTGAAGAAACCTATGAAGATCATAAAGTCCAACTGCTTTACCTCTTCAGGGCTAACCAAAAGTTAAAGCATCTTAATGAGGGCAATGTCCACTACCATGCATATCAAGATCTCTGTAAACACATCTTGAAGAAGGAAATTCACATCAAATCATGATTTTGCATCTGGTTCTTCAGGGGAATGGGGCAAATACAAGAAATCTGCCCCTGATGAGCCACCAGTGTAGCTTTCCTCCATTCTCTTTTGCAGTCTCTGTACTGAAAAGTTAGGACATACTGCAAATGGTTTATTGCTTAACTTCAGCAAAGAGTATTTGTGCCTTTTTTTTTGAAAAAAAAATAAAAATCGTAATCATGCCTGATAGATCCAGAGCACTTTATTCTTTCTCACTGCATATAGAGCAGAGGGGAGATGCTACATGATGTCAGGGGAATGGCAAGAAAAGCAAGTAGGAGATTTTTCATCTCTATTGAAGTGGGGCAGCTTTGGGACTGAAAAGAGGTAGTTAAAAAGGGAGAATCAGAAGGATGAACAAACAAGTATATCAACAATAGATAAGACAATACTATGTTAAGGGGGAACTGGAGTAAATTATTTTTCACTCACAGGCCAACTGCTCTTCCTTAAAACAAGCTCCCAAAGGATCTCAAGTGTGTGCCCTACACGCTCCATTAATCCCTCCCTGCTGAGTGCCAGCTTAGCCCCACTGAGTCCACAGACTTGCAGATATGGCTTTATCTTGCTCTTTGCAGATGCAGACAGACCAGAGATTTTCACAGGTATCATGTGTATTTAATATTTGCCAAAATCTCTGGTGCTGGGGACTGGTGTAGCAATAACATACTTGGGAAAATAATTGTGAAACATTAACAAGTCCTTATTGTTAACAGGTGTTTCTGGCAGAGATTCCTTCAGGGCAACTTGGACAACACACTATAGCTGAGTTGGTAATGGCATTTTTCCCAGGGGGACCTTCAAAGTCTCCTGTGTGGTGCTTTGTATTCCTGGCAGCGGAGTCAGGAAGAAACCATGTATTCAACATCCTCCTTCGTGCCTGCTCAAAATAAAACATTCATTTATCAGCCATTGCGTTCTTCGTATCTCACATGACTTGGCACAGGCTTATCACGTGGTGGCTTTAGCACAGGGCACTAGCACCAGTTATGTATTCAAGATAACGCACTGTGGATTGGCCCCTTTTCCAGTGCCTGAAGTGTTCAGTGACTGTTTTCTGCTTGCATAAGCACTCACTGAGAGATGCATAAAAATGGATTTTTACTGCTGTGATGTTTTGGTGGCATCATTATTCCCAGACCCTTAGAGAACCTTTGGGTTTTCATAGGGGATCAGCCCTGGGTATGTAAAGAAACCTGTGGGACGCCTCCCTGCTCAGCAGAAGCTTTAGGATTTACTCTGGAAAATGATAATTAAAAGAATAATTAAAAACTAATGGGGTTTTAAAGCTAGAAAATAAGAGAAAATTGACTGCAATTTCATCGTGACCTTATACTTATTTTATTTTTTTTTAGTGAAAAATGGACTTGAAAGGGGTGGGAGCAGTGTCCAGAGCACTGCCCCCAGCTCACGTCTCCATCATCCCTCGTGGATGGCACATTATCAAACCAGTGACACTGGGCTATCAAACTGTTGTGCAAAGTGAAGAAGTTGATATCCAAAGGATGAAAAAAGCGAGGTACCACTCCACACCAGAAATATTTTGCAACAAGCAACCAAACCAAAATACCCCTGCCAACACCCTTTTCAAAGAGAAAGATTTTCCAGGCACTTGACTTCCACCTTGACTTTCTGAATAATATATGGTGGAGAACAGAATCCCACTGGATCAGAGGGGAGACTTTGCTACAACAATAGCAGTGCTGGCAAACTGTCTCCTTTCAACACATTCTTGAGTTTGTATTTTAAGTGGTTTTGCTAGATTGGCAGCCAAAAATAACTATTTTCTGATCAAATTCACTGGTTCTTGTAAAAACGTAACATGTTAAATGCGACCGTGAACGGTCCTAATAGTCCTTCAAGGTGTCTGGTCAAACTTTGTGTTTTCAGAGGAGGAGAGAGGATGGAGAAAGGTGCAGCAAAAGGTTCAAGCCCCAGTGTTCATTTTGAGGCTAATCCTGCAGCCTTCCCAGCCCTCATTATGCAGGAATATGCCCCATATTTAACGTGATGCTTTTATGCCTGCTATTCTGTACTTCATATATACCCTTAAGGTTAAAGTAGTAATTAAGAGCAGCTTTCTCATGCGCCTAGTAGAGCAAGGCCAAGATCCACAAAGGCTACCACAACTTAAATGTCAAATAGCAAAGTAAAAAAAGCAAACTGACAGGCAGGAATTACCCCTACAGCCTCTGCTCACACTGATCTTACTCTGTGTTGATGACATACAGAAAGGAATCTCACTGCATATCTTACAGGACATATAAATCATTCAAAACTGGATTTCTGGATGAAAAAACTCCAGCTGCAAAAACCAGAGAATTTTCATCAAGTCACTTTGTAAGTAATTTATAGCACTCTAAGACTTACAAAATAACAAAGAAACGACAGGCCAGTTTCTTCTTAATTAGACCTGGAACAGCAGGACAGAATCAGTGTGAACAGTGGAGCATTTCCACCCCAAACAGGGCTCCCCTTGGCCAGGAAACGTGCACTCGGTTAACTCTGGTGCTCCCGGGTCTTCAAAGCAGGGCATGGAAAGGAGACAAACCTCCAGGTTTCACAACAGGTTTCCCTCATGGGCCTGGACAAACTACGAAGGAGTTGGAGGTAGAAAGAAAACATGAATGCAAAGTACAGAAACTGAGAATTGGAAATCTGTAAGTTGGTGTTAGTGTAGGTAAGAGATCTGTGCCAGCACTCAGGGAACATGGGCGAACAGACCTCAGGTGCTGGGGACGAGCACGGTGGGCTCAGGACGGGACCACGACAATGCTACATCTGGGCAGCCTTCACTCACTTGGACCTCAGTCTAGGACTGCTGCTGGTAGGTTTTAGCCTGCAACATTAATGAATCAATCACAATTTGGCTTCTGGGCAGCAGCAGGCCTAGCTCTTGGATCTCTTACACCAAGAAATGACAGTCCCTAAAAGTAATTAATTAGTTTAATTCTCATTAGGTCCTTGGAATCACTAGAGGGAGACATGAGCACATGCCTGAAGCCAAGATGTTACATCTGGACTGGAGAAACACCCAGTAGATGGTGGCATGAAGCATTTTAAGAATTAACTATAATATCTACACCACATGCAGCTTCTCAAGATGTTTTGCTGTCATCAGCTTACAAGAAGATAAAGATTTATTGGGCTATTACTGAAAAGGAAGCTAGATACTGCCAAATGGCATGGACAGTTAGATGACTAGTTGCTGACATCTTTATTCATATATAAAACAACACAGTTGAGTGTTTTCTTTTTTTTCTTTCTTTTTTTTATCTAAAAAAAATAAAAATAAAAGCCTACCATGCTTGAAGGAATCAACAAAGCAATGTCTGAACTTCTAAGTCATTTTAAAATCGTTCATGGGTTTTGGACTTTTTTTTTAAATTGTGTATACAAAGCACTGCACTTATCACCCTGAACTTTTAGCGCTGACTAAAATAAGAGATAAACAGTTGGGCTACAGATTGGTTTAACTGTGCCTGAAGATGCTGAAGGGACGACAGCACAGAGCGATGCTTCCAGCATCGCCATCAGGAGATCACTCATTCCTGTGCCATATATCTACTAAAACCATACACCGAGCACATTAAGCCACCACGTCTACTTTTTGATCAGCTGTTAACTGCAGGCATTGGGATCGAAAGTTTAGTACAATAACTTCAGCAATTTCTTTCTGTATCGTCTAAATGTTGCTTCTAATAAAGAAATTATTGAACAAGTTACAAGAATTATAGGACTATCTTTACAACATATGTCAGAACAACGACAAACCAAATGAACAGAATTATTCTAATCCTTATTGAAAACTGTATGAAAAATGAAGTAAATCACATACGACAAAATCCTGCAGTACTACGGAGCTCAATTTAAGAAGCATTTGCTCTAAAATTTTAAGATCAGTCCCAGCCTATAAAGTTGTTCTCCCAGAATCTAGCTGGCTGTATCTGTCCACTTTTTTCTCTGACAGCTTGATATACTGTCCCCCCTTTGTTACACATTTTGAATTCAATTTAGCATGCTACTTCCAATTAACCAGCACACACTTACTGCATTATTTGGCATTAAACAGGCCCATGTGTTCCTTTAGCTCCTGCCAATGTGAGAAGACAATACCCTAAGGTGAACAAGGCTATTTGTTCGGCAAGTATTAGGCTCTGGGAAGTGTCCAAGAAGTCTGATGGAAGCCTGCAGGTGTGCGGTTTCAAATACCTTCAAAGTGCTTAATGCCCAAGTCTTCCAGAAATGTTACACTTCATAACCAGCCTCTTCCAACAAGATTTATGCTCTGTTTTGAATATTTCTAATACTCTGGAGTCTGAGTGCCAGAAACCTCTATTTATCAGGCTCAGTCACTGGACAAGTTGCTCTGGTCAGGGATCTTTATACAAACCCATTTATATACAGGCCATTATTTATTCCGTACAAACTACTAAGAGCAGGTGTGATTTCAGTGTGTTTGCTCTGAATCTAAATTAGTTTAACAGAGTAAATTGTCATCCACAAAATAAGCCTACTGCATTAAGGCTATCAATAAGGAGAAAACAAGAACAACTTTTAATGACAACTTTATATATATAAAAAAAAAAAATAGCATCCTTTCACTGTGATATGTGTACAAGGAAAGTACAGTACAGTTTTGAGATACACCCCGCATATTCTTTGAAAGGGGTCACAAATTCACAGATATAACATTGCTTTGCAACTGCTTATTAAAAGCAACAACCACCCAAAAAAAAAAAGCAACAAAACAAAAACAACAACAAAACCAACACATAATAAACAACGTGCACACTACAAGTCTGAGATTCCTCGCTTACTGCTGGAAATTGCTTTACAGCATTCGAATTTAAAGCTTTGGCCCCTGCAAAATAATTATTGGGCAACTGCAGCTCATGCATGGAGCTGCTGCAGTCAGCCACAGGTCCATGTGTAGGAAAAGTCCTTCAGCAACTGGGGTCTGAGAAAGTTTCTGGCCTAACTATGAAAAATAAAATTAAAATTAAAATTAACAGAGGGATGGGAAGATGGAGGTGTCTGGGTTCACCAGTTCTTTTTAAGAGCTCTTCACAAACTTTTCTTTGCTCTGATAAAACACTAAACTCTTAGAGAAACGTTACTTGTCATTGTTAGATCAGCAGTGTGAAGCCAGGATGGCTCCAAACTCTGTCTTTGGCTACTCTGGAAAGGATAGAAAGGTATAATTTCCATGTTTGTCCCGTTGGCAACTTCTGACACTGTGATGGTTATTACTTACACAAACAGAAATCTGCAGCCAATCAAAATAATATGGTTGGCAAGAAATCTGGGCAAACTTTAATAGCTATGGTTCTTCAACATAAAAAGGATAAAAGTAGAATAATAATTTTTGGCAGGAGAAGCGGGGAATTTTTAAAATTCTGATTGTTTTCCTATGAGAATAGTGTTATAAATACTGAAGTCTAACTTAAAACATGTTGTTCTGGTTTCATGAATTCACATTGAATAAAATTCTGCTGGATCCACTGAGTTACACTCAGCTCATTTCCACTCTTCTCAAAGTGAAGTTATCTGGAATATACAACAAGGAAAGAGAGCGGCATTTCACACAGAAATTGCATGTTCAAAATAATTTAAATGTCTTTCAGAAAAGAGTTATCTGTGTATGCAAGTGTGTTACAGCGGAATACACAGAGCACTCGTTTCAAGAAAGCATAATTAACTTCAGTCCTCTGGGAATCAGATAGCCAAGAAAGTCATTACCAAGTGGAAGATGGACATAAATTTCAATCGCAAACCATTTGCACTGAAGTTTTCACTTTCATTTTCCACAAACAGCAGTGCTATGTTCAGGATGTTCATCCTGACAGCCTTTCACTGATGAAGCAAATAAGCAGTTATATTATTTTAGTAGTAATTAAGCTCACTTCCCACTCACTTGCCACAATGCCAATCTATTATAATTTAGTAGCTTTTCCATTACAAAAAGTGCATGCAGTCTAATAAAGACTATTTTTCAGGCACAGAATTATGTAAATGTGTTAATGTGAAGTAAGGAGTAGCATCAAAACACATTAATGAGATCACAAGTAAGTAAATCGGCAATAACTAATGATGAAAGGTTTTAGGTCTTCTTTTAGAAAATGACATCCTGTACACATTTTCCCCGCTTTGTGAAAAAAGTGAAAACTTCACAAATAGCAAACCAAGAAAAGACATTGAAAAGTCTACTTTTTTTTTTTTTTTTTTAATATTTAATTTTTATTTTCATCTTTATATGATTGTGCTTCATTCTATGTTTTGGAACAAAAAATCGTATTGAGGCCCAGATCAGAATGATCTGTTTAATGGTACCGAAGTGAACTTCTTTCCCCAGGGAAATACCATAAAGGAACCAAGAAGTAATTTGAAGGAGGAATTAATAAAAAAGACTATTGCATATGAATAGTTCTGTATGAATTGGCATTTTCCAATCTAAAAAAAAAAAAGTTTGCTGAAAATATTTCCCAGGCAGATCTACTTGGGCCCCCGATTCATTGGCACAGGCTCAGTATCAGTCACTTAAAATACGTGTTTCATCATGTACCTAACGTTGTGACATTCTTTAAAAATACTTAATACAAAATCTTTTACTTCCTTTATAGTACATATTTACAATTCTAATATCAAGATACTGTGGAAAATGTAAACAAGAGCACACAGGTGTAAAGAATATGGCTTGGGAAAAGTTTCCCCTTCGATTAGCTGCTCTAATCACACACAAGTATACAAAGATAAGAAGAAAACAGTACATTTCATAAACTGCTGTCAAACAGCAAAATGTAAGTTCTTGGGTTTTGTGCATTAGCTGCTGAGTAACCGTACCAGACATCGGGCATCTTTCTGAGAACTGAAATGTCCAACAGACTGGACTGGGGCTGGCGAAGGGTTGAGGAGGTAACCAGGGGCTGGAGGACAGGGTCCAAAGAGGTTGTGGGCTGTCCATCCTCGGAAATATCTAAAATAACTGGGTGATCTCTCAGCAACCTCATTTAACCTTGAAGTTGACCATGCTTTAAGGAGAAGCCTGTACTTCCAGAGGTCTCTTCTAAAGTATCTACTGTAAAATAATATGAAAAACTGAATGCAATGCTTGTGTTACTGTCGTAGTTTGTAGTAAATACAAAATCAAAAGACAAGATCAAAAGGCATCAGTTGCTTGACTTGGATGGTTCTTTTTCCCCAGCAGTTACTATGATGATATCTAATTGTCTTGCACAAGATTTACCTTAACAGTTCCAATTCGGTTAAACTGCCCCAACTTCACATCCTTTTGAGATCAGACCTAGGCCAGCACATCTCCAAAAGAACATATAAAATGTCATAGCTGACAGAAAAGGCCTGCTGAGAACCACTTGCTTCTGACTAGTTTGGGGACAACAATTTTGTCATGTTTACATCAAGTCAAGCAAAAGTTCTAGTGATTTATTCAGCTATAATAAAGAAATGACAAGGGATCAGAATCAACCCCTGAGATTTTCTGGCTGAAAGCAGTTGGTTAATTAACTTGGTCACAGTCACAAATATCTGTACTGAGTTTACGATGGCTTCCACTACCTATGAAGTGATGAATAGCAACAATAAGACTTCCATGAAGCTTGAAAAACACTTCCCAAACCTGTATTGCTTTCAGTAGATCACAGCTTGAATTACAGTCCCAGGTGAGCAAGTGGTACTTGCTCCGTAGCAGACTGCTAATGGCTGCAGATTGGGTTAAAACCTGGGGTGAACCACGGGGTAAGTGTTATTTCACATTCTCATTAACCAACTGCAACAACAAACATTTTTAAAAATCACGTTAGCGTCAATTATTGTCAGTTTCTCTCTTTTATGATGAAAATATTTTCTTGCAGAGTTGCAATTTGTTGTGGTGTGTGAACACAAGTCCAGAAACAGCTTGTACTACCTTGTCCCCAGAGCCCATGGTCCTGGTGTCTTGTACTAAGTGCGCTTCTGATCTAGTCAGACTCAAGAGGTTACTACCAAGGTTTTGTAACTCTGAACCTAAAGAGAGGTGAAAAGAGGTGCTCTGAAATCTTCTAGGCTGGTTAATCCAGAATATTATAACAAAGACCATTATTTCTGTTTAATGACTTAGTCCTATATTAAAGAACAACCTGTGTAAACATACAAAATAGCACCAAAATGTCCTTGTTCGAAGTGAACAACAGCAGCTGTTGAAGCATCAGGAAGGACTTTTTAAAACTGGCAATCAAGTTATTGTGCAGTAAGAGCACATTACAATCCTTTACATACAGAGCACACAGATTATCATTACACATATATATCCTTGCTAACTATCCACTTTCTCCATCCAGGATAAAACTTTCTGTGTTAGACGTTAGAGTTTTACAAGAACTGCTGCACTGTTTGACTCGACAAACCGCTGAGAAACTCAGCTGGCAAGATGGGAGAATGTAGAAAGCCAGAGCAGCCTGACAGATGACATCCTGCTCTTTAGAAACGCGACTCAGATGCAAGCAAGATACAGATGGAGACCTTCCAACCAATCCACACTTGAAAAGGCACATATTCTCAAATTAATTAACATCTTTTCAAGGACTGTGGTGGATTCTTCATCAGTTGCAATTTTAAAATTAGACTGGATGTTTTTCTAGAACGTAAGATATTTTTCAGAGAGGAATTTGGTGAATTTCACTAGTTTCTGTGCAATGTGATTTTGCAGTGAATCCATATTGGCGTCTTAATATGTTAAACACTCATTTAACTTCATGCCGGTTGTCAAGTGGGTTTAGAAAGTCACTTATACATGGTGAGGCTCACCGTCAGTTGATGTGTTACATGCTGCTTATCCTGATACTCTTTGGAGCTGGTTTTACTAAAAACATGTCCAAGCTTTCAAACAATGAATTATCGTATATATCAGAACGAGTGTCCCGAGCAGATTAATGGTGGGGTAAGAGGCTAGGAATAAATACATGAAACAGATTCAACTTTTTAAAAGGATCCAGCTACTAAATGGCCTCTGTAGTCTTCCATAAGAAGTGTGAATACTTCAGCACAATTCAAGCTGAATTGAATAGCTGTTTTCATATCCAAATTCAAATACCGTCTGTGCATATGAAACAGTTCATTTATTAGTCCAAATGTTACTGTTGTAGAGCTCTTGGAAAAATACTCCCTCTTTCTTGAGTTTGTTCTTCATAAAAAGGAGGCTTTGGAGGGCCACCTAGAGAATTAAGTAGAAACGCAGTCTTAGGTCTGTATAACATAATACTGAAATATTATATAGATTATACAATTTACACTTAAATAATTTAATAAATGGTACCCTTCAAAGGAAGGTAGAGGACTGAGTTAACTGGCCTCCTCACAGAGGCAGATGGAACCATCAAAACAGTAAAAGCAACTCTTAAATGGAAGGTTCCCAAAATATTTCCTAAACTAATGGCAGACTTGCATGGTAACACCAAAAGCCAGACATGTTTAGACTACACGTGAAAGGAAACAGCACACAGTACTGTATGTACATCATGAAGAAGAGAAATTACCTAAACTAAAAACAAAACAAAACAAGAAAACAACAAAAAAAGTAAAAACAAACAAACAAAAAACAACAGACAGACCAAAATATTTTGTGACAGTGTGCTGAGCTCCTTGGGCCCTCACAGACCAATCCAAGTCTATTTTTCAATGTTTTATTTACTTATCCAGCCACTTAGCTGATCACATCATGCTCTTCAAACCCTGCCATCTCTATGAACAGTATGTGAGCGTGATGGCATGCACAGCAAGTAAACCTCTTCATTCATCTTACTAGGCTGTGGGATATCAGCTCTTTCAGGGCACAATTTCCTACCCACAGGCACAGAAGAGCATACAGCTCTCTAGCACAGCTGTGCTAGAGGCAGCCACAGGAACCCTTGAGCAAGTAGCACAACCTCTCCACATCAAAGCCCACTCTGAGGGGAAACCAGCTTGGCCAAAACTTCACACCCCCTGAGAATGAATCCCAGTGTTTGCAGTATCCTCTGGCATTTGCAACCCAGGCTCCTGGGCCTGTGGGAGGGGCAGCACACACCGAAACAACCCTTCCAAGCAAAGCTGCTTCTATTGTGGGCTCTGAGTTTTTCCACTTGGAGTTAATCACTGAGTTTTTCTGAGTTATTCACAAATGCAGAAGGGCTACTGCCTCACACAGCCTGATACAAACAGTGGTGGCTGCTGCTGAGCAGCACGTTGGCATGATGGGCTGCTAATCCTGTCCACGAGGTCCACTGACCATGATCAGTACATGATTTCTTTGATTAAGAAAGCCTGTGCACAACCAGCTTGTGTTACCTTCTTTGCAGGTTGGCCCCATCCATGTGGCTGGGCACACGCACTTCCCGTTGTAGGGATTGCACTGGGATTTGCTGGCACACTGGCATCGCAGAGAGCAGTTGGGGCCGTACTGGTCCGACCTGCATCCTGGAAGGACAGAAGTGTTTGGAAGAGGGTGAATGCTTCTCCCTGTCTGATGGCTGTGCTACAGAAGAGCCTCCTTGCAAATGCGTGGACAGAAATAGAAGAAATTGAGACCAATGTCAGCATTCAGGGCAAAATGCAAACATGGTAAGAAAATTCAGGATATTTATTTAAAAAAAAAATCATAAAAGTCCCTGGACAGAATATAAACTTCACACATGCTCTGGTGAGAATGCAGACCTCCATCAAGCTCTATAGACAAGGGGAAGCTTTGTTAAGCTCAACTGCTGAACTGAAAATAATATTGTTTTTTAATCCCTTTATACCATCTGGCATAAAAACCTGGGTTAGAAGAATTAACCTTGTTTTGCCCAAAGTTATATACTTACCAATATAAAACTAAAAAAAAAATTAAAAAAAAAATTAAAAAAAAATAAATCAGTTATTATTATGCTGTATAAGAAACTGTCTTAAATAATAACATGCTTTTGCTGTATTTCTCTCAGGAGATACAGATCTGGGATCAGGAAGCTGCTTAGACACCTACATCTGCTAATATTAAAACATGACATCTTGGAAAGCCTTGCAGTCCTCAAGTTTCATCTACCGCGTGGTCCACCCAAACTGTAACCCAGCTGTCCTAAAGAAGTTCCCGGAATGGGAATCATCCCCGGTGTCCAGCCAGAGGTTGGCAGCCCAACAGAAGAGATCTTGGGATTTGCTCAGGAAAGTTCCTGTCAGCGTCCTGGAGCCACACTATCTCCTGTGGCTCTCTACTGGCTTGGCTGCCAGTGAGCAGCAGCAAAGAGCTTCCACTCACAGAAAGTGGGACTGGAAATTAATCCATTTTATGTCTATTCATACATCGTGCTCTGATCACACAACTCTGCTGCCTCCTGGCAATTTCAGCTCACAAAAGGTCTCTCTCTACCTTCACTGCAAAGGATGGACAAGAACATTTCATGCCTAGGCTGACAAATGCTCATTGCAAATTTTTATGCATTCGGAGTACAGGCAGGAAGGGAAAGTTAGCAGCAGGTCACAGGGCAGGGTGCTAAATGCATTGTAAACAATGGCCCTCTCTCCCTCACCTCGCCGAAAACCGCTGTAAATAATCCAGGCGCTTGCTTTCTCACGCAGGCACCATGAGGTAAATAAAAGTGCTCCCGAGCCCTGCATCAGCTGCAGCCCCAACACGTGGCAGAACTCTCCCCATGCGCTCAGAGCTTGGCCTTTTCAATTAGGAAATGTTATGAGAAAAGGTCTCCTCGAACACCTCTGGACCTGATTTTAATTTATGTAATACCACATTTTCATGTTAATAACAATGTGTATTTAAGACATCTGTTTGAAAGTCTGCAATGTTAATTTACTACAGAAAAGGAGCGCCCATAAAAGTCTGTTATATTCTCTCTCTTTTTTTTCTTTTTAATTAACATTTTGCCTGTTTAATGGGTGCTTTACCAGAGTTCAAATTAAAATCAGGCCTTTTATCTTTATGGCTGCTGCACAGACACAGCTGCTCACAGTTATATCACAGATGAACTGAGCCTAATTGAAAATAAAAATGCAAATAAAACCTACCCCATAACAGCTTTTCATGGATGGGGGCTACCCCAGTTGATTTAAGAAAAATAAAAATGACTCCTAGAGTTTGCAAGAAGCAAGAACTCGGCTCAGATTTTTGGTGCTGAGCTTCCCCCTTGCGTTCCATTTCTGCTAAAATTTCACTGGCAAGGCCTCTGGGTGCACAGAGCCCTCCTTGCTGCGAGGTGGATAAGTCCCAGTCACACCAGTGCCTGGAGACTGGGTTGCTTCAATTTCTGACCACATGACAGTGCAGTCCAGCAAGCAAACCATTCTCTCTTTCCGTTTTTTGGATTGCACTGGCCCCTAAGCTCCCGGCGATTACTTGACCTCTTGCTTGCATTAATAACAGGGTATTTAAAGCTGTTTCCTGCCCTCTCTTAGAACTCAAGGAGGAATAATATTTCCCCCCTGTGATTCTGGGGCTTGGGAGGATTGTGGTTCCTTGCGTGATCCCCCAACATTAATTAGCACGTGGGCGTTCACTCCCTGTATCTTGTTTGCCACGGCATTAGGATCACACATCTATTCTTACACTCGTTTAAACCAGCGTGATTCTTTCTACCGATTACCCTAAATTTCCACCAGCACAACTGAGATCAGAACCTGGCTCAAGAACCTTGCCTGTCTTTTCTGCCTCTCAACCCTGCAACGGTTTCATCAGTTGCTTGGTTTTCTTTACAGAAGAATTTTCTCACCTATTTTTATACCCCTGTTGCAAAATAATCCTGCTTTTGTGGGCCAACCATTTACCAAACACACAACCCAAGTGTCTGTGCTGAAAATGAGGCAATTCTATTTGGATTAAATGTTCCCGGACTACTGCTGAGTCCTAGAGCCAGGAACAGCTGCTGATGCTCCACTAACCTCACCTGGAGCTGGACACTTTTGCACTCGTCTGAAAATCCCCACAAACGTCCCAGTGACAAAACACCCCTGTGATTTGATCCCTTCATGCCTAATTGCAGCCCTCTTGAGTCCATCCCACTACATCTGCAGAACTTGTGGGTTTCTCAGTGTGTTGTTCAGCAGTGCCTGTTCTCTGACACTCAATGACATTTTACTGCTGACCCATATATGGTTTCCCTATCGGTCTATCAATTTAAATATTGATTAAATCAAGAGTACAGCCTGTTGCTGAAAATGGTGATAACATGCACGAGAGTAATTTGCTGCAAACAATGTGTTCTTGAATACTTTGTACTGGCAAATGTCCTTTCCCAGTTATGCTCAGACCAACCAACGGGTCATATTGGTTTAACTGTGCATAGTCCAGCCCCTAGAAAATATTCCTCTTACCGATGTTGCATTTGTCTCCGGTCTTCCCAGGTGGGCAGAGGCACTTGCCGGTGGCTGGGTCACAGGGAGCTCCTCCGCAGTCGCACCGACGCTGGCAGCTCTCTCCAAACCACCCGTTGTCGCAGCCTGGTGGGAATAGCATTGGTTTAGGTGCACTGCACGTGAGCATTGCAAGAAATACATCAGGCCAGAAGAGCTTTTGAAGGATGTCTCGGAGAAAAGCTCATAAACTCTCAGCTGAACCTGGTGCAAATGCCAACTTTAATGAAGGACTGAATTCAGTGGAACAGGCATAATATTTATATGAACTCTCATTCTGTTGGTTTCATCTAATCCAACATATCAAAAGTATCTGTAAATCTGTCCCAAAATGTTACTGGCACTTATTTTCCTTTTTAATTAGAACTCTTTAGTAGACCATTCCATAACACTCAACTGGCTTGACATGCACCAATTTAATAATCTTACTTGGAATTTTAGAAGCAAATTTAAAATCAGTGCAAGAAACTTATTCTTAATAAGCAACATGTGGAACTCATTGCTGCAAGACAGCATGGAGACCAGGACTTTCACTCTGTTAATCAAAACCAGGTTAGTTAATTTATAAGGAAATGAGAACACCCAGCTATGTAACAGGTAAAGGATCACACGTTCAATGTTCCAGGATATTCACAAAGCTCAAAATATGGAAGATGTTGCTCTCAACAAACAAAATTTTAAATGCTGATGTGATTTATTTATTTTTTTACATCAGATGGGTATGAGTACCTTTGTCACAGTGGATACCCTGATAACCCGAAGGACAAATGCACTGCCCTGTCACGGCATCGCAGCTTGCTCCATTTTTACAGGCGCATGCATGAAGACAGCTTAGCCCATAAAATCCAAGGGGGCACCCTGAGAAATGAAAGTGTCAAGTGAGGAAAGTTTATTAAGAAAAACATACATCCCTTTAAAATCCTCTGTATTTGCAGCTACCTTCCCTGGGAGCCAACAAAAGTGGTATTTACCATTACTGCTAATAATCCCATCTGCTCTTAAACTCACCAGCAACACCCCAACGTCAGAGGTATGCGAGTTACTATGCCTGGAAGCAGACGGGTGATCTGGTACACCCCCAGAACTTTAACTGAACCGCCACCAAGCCGCTCTGCCACCCCACATTGTGTTACTGCTGGAAACCAGGCGACCCGGGCTGCTGTGGGGTTCTTACTGTGCTCGCAGGAGCGTCCGTAATACCCTTCGGGGCACTGGCAGCACCCCGTGAACCTGTCACAAGTGCCGTTGTGCTGACACATGCAGTCCAAGCCGCAGCCAGAGCCATACTTCCCAGGGAGACATTCTGTCAACCACATGTGGACAAAAAAAAACAAAACAAAAAAAAACAAGAATCACCAACCTCACCCAGAAAAGCTCCAACCTGACAGCTTTTCCAGCTGAGGCATAATGCCCGCATAATAACTTATAACTTAACCATAATAACTCAGGTGAACAATTGTTATGAATTTCCTTCTCTTCATGCAGGTGTGCTCACTGAAAGCACAGCATTTCTGCACTATTATTACAAACCTACTTACTTTGATGAGAATTGCTTTATAGATGTTCGAAGAGCTCACTTTTTCTGTACTTCTTCTAGTCTACCTCTTTAAATTTGTCTCTTCATACAGTCAACGTTGAACCTTCACACCCCTAAAGTGTTTTGAAGCCACAGAATAAATGGTATCTTTTTTTTTTTTTTCCCCCTACATCTACAGCAATACTTTCTTTAGACTCTTACAAAGTGTGAAAGAAAACACAGAGCTTTTCCTCCTCTGTGTTATCATTGGAGTTCACACTATTTGACTCCTAATAAAAATGGGAGGTGATTTTTTCACACATAGCGACAGACTTTCCATGTATAATTAGATATCTACTTTTACAGAACTAAACTCATCTCAAATTGCTGAAAGTCAAGTCATGCAAAAGTGACTGTGTCAATATAATTAATCTATGCATCATTTCTACAGAAGTTAACTTCCACGGCTGTGATAATTGGAATCTGTGCAGAGCGACTTAACTGAGCGTGGCCATCCACATAATCAGATTCGTAACTCTGCAAATGTCAGACAAGATCTTTCAAGACCATCATATCTAATCAACAGAAAAAAGACGCCTGATTAGCTTTGATTTCTAGTCAAAACAGACTCAAAACCATGCTGCTGTGGAAATTAAGATTGAGTTTTCCAACAGCTTAGTATCTGTGTCAAAAGATAAACACTGAAGATCTTTCTAACGATACCACACACCTCCTTTATGTGATGGGTACGTGTCTGTTCTGGTCCTTGACACCAGAGACTTTTTGTTTAAACACACCTAGAGGATGCACATGTGTTCTGCTATTCCGCATGGCACCTGCATGACCCCACCAGGGCCTTGCAACCCAATCGTGGCCCATGAGTGGTGCTAGAGATTTCAAGGAACAGACAGAGAGATGAACACACACAGCCTATGCAACATGATGTTAGCCAGTTATTCGTTAACTGCACTGTTTTGTGTGTTTGTGTGTATTTTAGTGCTTGTCCACTGTGGAATTAAAATGACAACTCCATATATGTGTATATATACATATATATTCTTATATACATGTATATAAGAAACAGGTCTATCAGTCTTGTCAGGTACAAAGGGAAACAATTGCATAGAATTGCTTAAAATCTGTCATTTCTGGTTGCCTCTATAACAACCAGTTCTTGGTAGAGATATGTATGGAGCTGGAGGTGGTTATTCTACAGATATCAGGGGCAGGAAGGCCGTAAATGAGTGTCCTGGAGAGTGCTGAGGACATTGCACTGTGGCAGCTATAATGTAATGACGATATCATGTTAAATATGAAGCTGACCATTTAATTGATATCATATCAGTAAGCTCATGGTTTCCTGCCCACGTAAGTCTGTAACTCTACAGATATCTCTTATCTAGAAAGAGAAATGGGAACACAGCTGGCAGGAGGTTTTCTAGAGTGAAAACTGAGCTTATTCTGTTAAGTGTGGTTTCCCTTGTGTAAGAGAGAGCTAACAAGGAGAAGTAAGGACGTGATAGCACGACCATTTCAATTGCTTTGGACAGATGTTGCCAAAACATCAGAGAAATCAATACATGGGAAGTTTAAGTGCAGTCCAATGTCAAAAGGAAAAGAATATCAAGAGAGACTGTAATGAGAGGACAAAGATGCTGTCATCTGCTGACATTGGGAGAGTGTGTGAAAGAAGCTACAAAACAATGTTCCCAAGAAAAAAGAATACAAAATTTGGACAGAAGAAATAAGAGTCCGTGCAAAGGAATTTATGAGGATTAAATTATGAGGACTCACGAGGAAACTGCCCCTAAAATAAAATATCTAAAGCTCTAACTTGAGGCAATACAGCAGGAGAGAAGCTACAGAGATGAATCCAGCTGGGAGAGAGCTCTGGTTTAAGCAAAACCTGTCCCCATTTGAGGATCCATAGCCACTGCAAACCCCTGCTGGAAGGTACACGTTCACTACCATCAAAGCAGAAAATTACCTTTCTCACATGCTCTTCCTGTCCAGCCGAGTCCACAAGTGCAGCTGCCATCCACGTGGTCACAGATACCGCCGTTCTGACAGGCACATGTCAGGAGGCAGTTGGGGCCATATTGTCCCTGGGGACACACTACAGAGAATTAACAAAAGTTTGGAAAAAAATAAATTAGCATCCCCAAAAAAGATGAATGTGACAGGGAATTAATACAGATGCATGCTCCCCACCGAGTATCCCAATTGCCTGAGGTACCCAAGGGCCGTGGGACACATGCATTTCTACACTCTGTGCTCATTAGCAATTTCATCCAAACACTCCTTGTCTCTCATTATCTCCTCACTTAACTTCACTCCATATTTACTTTTCTTGCTATCTTCACTTTGTCCCATCCTTCACTGTCTGCTATTCAGCAAATCCTCTCCTTTCATTTTTCCAGTTCAAGTAATTTGCTTCAGAACATAGCCCCTTCCATCCACAGCGCCCTCACACTGCTCACGTTGTGTGGCATACACTGCTCTTCTCCCCATCTTTATGTTTGTGCTGCTTGAACTGCGGTCTCTGAAAGCAGTGGCTAATTTTGTAGGGAAACAAAAGCAATGGTGCTGCTGGTGGTGAAAAAAAGCAGTGAGATGTGGGCAGGAGACAGGGGCAGGATAAAGGTAGGGTGATCAGAGGGGGACAGGGGCTGAGATCCTGCAAAGTACAGCAAGCTGCAGGGTTGTCAAGCAAATGTTGGCTCCAAATACATTGGGAAACACATCCATAAACAATGTTTGGCGCTGAGTTTTATTTGCTGGTTGTTACAACTACGTGCCCAACTGACGAGATGACCTCAGGTCCCGCTTTGTTACCTTGCTGACAGCTGGGTCCCGTTTGGCCAGGAGGACAGGTACACTTGCCAGTCCGTGGGTCGCACTGACCTTGACCGCATGCACAGAACTGGGTGCAGTCCTTCCCGAATCGATTTTCAGGGCAAGCTGAAGGAAACAGAGTCTTTTGTTAAACACCCTGGCTATCCAATGCCAGATTTCATTTCCAAAGGAGGCAGGATCCTACAGGTAGAGTCGGCTTCCTTTTTATCCCAGCTAACGTGCTTCAAAATTACAACTACGAAAACAAAACCCACCCAAAGACATGACTGCTTCTTCCTCCGAAACTTTTTTGGAGGTTATAAATAAAATCCAGGCTTACACATGAAATATTTAGTAGGTTTTCCACCAGAAAGGTGAGTGCACAACTGAAATATCAGCTGCTCATGCTGCCAGCTAAAGATTTCTTTCCTTCCTTAATATTGATGCTCTCCTATGCTGAAGAGCAAAGCTAGAGGTGACTGAGCATTGTGTTTCTGTGAATAAGCAGAGGAAAACTTCAGAAAGTGACTGAATATGATAAAACATTTTGATTAGCACTAAACCTGTATGGTCAGTACAGGTATAGCAAGTGGAAATCCCAATGGTGCTGTGTTTACCCATATAAGGAGATCACAGCTTTGGAAATACCAAAGAAATTCAGTCACAAATTTTAGCACTTAAATAGGGAAGTAAGAGTAGGGTTGCCATGGAGCCTTTACCAGTTTTGCCATGACAAAACTTGATCTTTTTCCCATTTATTGAAAATAATGGCACCATAGCGTGAAGCAAAATATTGAGATAATTTCTCAACCTAGAAATTTTGGACAGGAAGAAGGAACTTGAGCAATTCATGCTGAGTTGGCTCTAGAAATAAATTTGGGCAAGCAGGTTGTAATCCTGGGATGAGTGTCCTTGTTTCTACTCACGCAGAAGAGAGGGAAAATATTTTGCAAGAGAATTTTTACAAAGCTGGAATCCTGATTTACAGTTCAAGGAGGAGGTAACCGGGATCTGTCTGGTTTTATACTGACAAATTCTTCTGTGGATTATTCTCTCTGCTATTTTTCTGAACGAAGCAGAACATGAATGTTGGCTTACTTTTACTACAGTCGGCTCCAATGAAACCAGGCGCGCAATCACAAGTTCCCGACACGGGGTCGCAGTGGCCTCCATTCATGCATTTACAGGCTTTTTGGCAGTATGAACCATAAGTACCTTTTGGACACCCTGTTTTTATAAAAATAAAAATAAAAAAGGGTAATTAGGCTATGTTGCTACTGGGACCGTTGCATTTCATGTCATAAGCACTTTGTTACTTTCATCCAAAATTAGATTTTCATTTTCTAACTCTATTTGCTTCTGGAGGGCCAGGAGTAGGCATTGACGAGCAGATGGTTGCCTTGGGCAGTGCTCCCCTCTCCAACTCCAAGTCAAAGCCCTGGGGAGCCTGCCCGACTGCTGCTACTGAGCCTGCTGCTCCTGGCTCTGCTCTTCCCGTTTCTCATATGCGAAGGTAGCAAGAAAAGCAAGCCTGGCTCTTCAGAGATTTTTCTCCTGGGTTTCTATTCCAAATCAATGCGCTCCCCCTTTCCTTTCCATGGCAGAGATGGAGAGATGGGGCCCTGGTCCTTCCTGCTCTGGGCAACAACAGCCTGTTGAGAAGCCACGGGCAGTCTCTGCCTCATTTAGCTGTCGTTTTAGCTGACCAGTTCTAGGCAGCGGGCAAGTCTCATCCTGTAAAAAATGTTTAAGTAGCAGAAATTTTGATTCCTCTATAATCTATTTATTCGCTCCAAACTGGCGTTTGCATTGCTCTGGCAAATCTAATGGAGGGCTACGAAAATGTGCACGTGACAATAACACGAAATCTCAGGAGACATCTTCTCAGAAGATGGATACAGCAGAGAGATGCTTTAAATGCAAAGCCAGAAAATTGCCTGAGAAAAATAAAGCTTTTTCTGGGTGATAGCGAATATTTCTGCTTCTTTCTGGACAGCTCATGTTGAAGGAACATTGAAAACAAGATCAGGAGGACATTAATGCATCTGCCACGCTTAGCTCATGTTTTCAGGATACTCTTTAGAGACAGAGAGGCTGGAATTGAGGAAAAAAGCTGGGCAGAGCTGCTAGGCATGTTTCTCTGGCTGCCAGGGCTGACTCCAGCATGCCACCACCCAGCCCTGGAGAGGCAAGTTGCTCCCCCAGTTTCCCAGTGTACTGGAAGGGAGAAAAGCCAGTGCTTTCAGAGCAACGTGATCATCGTTCTACATTTGCATTCATGCTGCTGCCTCTGAATGACATTTCTTTGCTCCTTCTTTCCTTCTGTTAATCCCCACCAAAGGAAAGCCTATGGCTACTTTGGCAATCTGGCTGAATATATATTTGCACGTCTCCAGGCAACAGATCTCTTGCAATCTGTGTATAAGGAACTTCATATATTTTCTCTCTTTTCTGAAGGCATGAAAGCATAGTGTGAGTGCCTGGAGAAATCCATGGATTTTTTGAACCACTCAGTAGAGAGGGAAAGCTTACGGTAAAGCTTTAAAGGGATGCTTTAAAATAAAATTGAAAATTGGCTTCTGCTCAAATCAGGATAGCAGATCATCAGGACTAAACAGATACACACTTTTCCAACATGCGGATACTCTCCTCAGCCCTTCTCAACCATGGCTTCTTCTCAATGAATACTTCGTCATCACTGCTTCCATCTGTCGGCACAGAAAATCTGTTTCATGTGCAAACCCTGGCATCAAGGTGTGAGCCCTGCAGCACCTATTAGATTTCCACTAAGAAATGAAGCTAAGGACACACCCTGATTCAATGATTAAGTTGGACTCTGAGTGACTTTCTCTCTTCCTCCTCCCTTTCCTTTCGGTCATCTTTTGGCTTTCTTCTCTGTTAATTCAGTTTCCCACACTCCCATACATGCGGCTTGTCCATGGCAAAGCTTTCAGAGCTGTTCCTCAGCTCAAGACTAGCAAGAGCTGTTCCAGTACTGCAAGGGGATGCAGCCATTCCCCCCGTACCAATTTATTTACCCTTGCAGCATTTCCCTTAGCTTTATTCAACGAGAAGCAGCACAAGCAGGGCGAACACGTTGGCTGCAGTGTTCCCACGATTACTAACAAGGCCATCTCTGCTCCTGCTTTGCAGCAGAGCTTCTATGCAGAAAGCTCGGGCAATTTACACAGCATCCTGCCATTTAAGCGGGTTCTGCATTTATAAAAAGGGTTAGCCTCTAACCACCAGTTATCTAATAAAGACATTTTCTAATTTAACAGTTTCCTGTGCATCTGACATGTTATTCTGAGAACGGCAGGAGAAGCAGCCAGATTTCTAACTCATTTCCTGATTTTTTCCTTCTGGTTTGGGTGAGTTTGCCATGACCAAGAGTTCCTAAATCTTTTCATACCAACCACATACTCTAGGGCTTTCCTTACCAATATTATTAATTGCACTGTCAAAAACACTTTTTGGAAGCATCCTGCTACCTACAGCTTGAAGGTGAAGTCAGTGAGGTCTTTCAGAGCTCACCCAGCTCAATAAATGCCACAGAGCATGGTTTTTCTGTCCGTGACAACACCCCTTACTGGGTTTATTCCTAACTTCACTCCAGTAGATCTGCCTATCCACTGAGTTATGGACAACTGATGGGAACCTTATTGCTAGTTTGTCTGCTTCCTCGGGATCCTGCCAAGAGACTGTTTCAGCTCTTCACTCCAAAATTTGAGAACATGAAAGCCTCGTTGCTCTTGGCTCCTGGAAATTTGACTTCCCAGCCAACTACACCTTTTATAGATATTTTCTTGAACCTTTTTTCACAGTACTATAAATACAGCAATAGTTGCCAGAAACCATTTCCAGCAGCATCCAGCCACATGTTGACTGGACTGAAGCCCACTTCACGTCTTTGGGAGCGGCTCCCTATGCTGTTTTTAATATTATATCGAAAGCTTCTTCATCTTGGAGCAGCCCCAGCTCTTTCTGTAGCGAGGATGGCAGGAACAAGCAGTATTTCCACCAAAGTATCGCTAATCCCTGGTTATCAGGCAGTGTCACTTCAGAATCAGGTCCGTGATCTCTCAATCCACTGACCTTAACCTAAAAATAACTCACACCTGAACTGTTTTCCTTCCATTTTTGTATCTCTAAGGCTTGGCCAGAGCAACATAAGGGAGAATATGAAAAATAAACCATAGATGCAAGACAAACTTTTTCCCCTCTGTGAATCTCTACCATTTCATTTTCTCTCCTGTAAAAGTTTAACAAAACTCTATTTATTATGTGAGAATTTGCTGTGCAAGATACTGTTTATTTATGGAATCTGGGAGAACACAGCACTGCAAAGGATCACATCTCATATGCTATAGATTAATCCTAGCTACATAGAAATCAATGACAAAAATACCTTTTGAATGTAACAAAACACAGATTTCATTTTGTAAGATTTTTTTTAATATATATATCAAAACTTGAGTATAATTATTAATGTTTTAAATTTTAATTTTTGAAGTGAAATTCTAAGGATCTAAGCATAAGCAAGGACATTTATTATAATCTGTAGAGATTTAGTACCACATGCACAGGTAATGACTACTGAAAGATTACTACATAAAAGGTAATAGGCTAACCATGATTAAATCTTTTAAAATGACACTGTTAAATAGTTGATCTCCACTACTGCTCTACTATAATATTTATTATAATCTAATGTATAATGGATCCAGATGGCTCTAGTCTAGACTTTGAATGCTGGATCTCAATCTCACTTACAGTAAGAACTGATGTACAAAGGATAGAATCCATCCTTACATTTACATTTATATTTTAAAGAACAACTTGTGATGACATGATGGTAATACAAATGTCTGTCTCTAAAATGAGCCTCCTACCTGCTTGTGCTCAATGAATAAAGCACAGATTAACCCTTACCAGAGCCACACATATTGTAGTTGGCTTCTGTATCCAAATTGTCACCCAAAAAAGCAAGCAAACCAAACACAGCCATGCTGAATTCCTAGGAAAGGAAAATCAGCATTTGCCAGAGAGAGAAAGACTGAGCCTGAAAGACGACAGGTTTTTTTTTTTCCTTTTTCCTTTTTTTCCTTTTTTTTTTTTCAATAAGACTATTACAAGCCACAGAATAAAAACAAAATTAAAGTTGTAAATAAAAAAGGTAATTAACTGTCTCCTTTCTTGGATACTTTGGTATATGTTTCTTATCAGTTGCCACATTCCACCAGAAACAACTTTACAGATGTCCTAAAATACCGGCATGAGGCATGTGGAGCTGGGAATATTTTTTATGATGGAGCATTCAGCCAACTGGCATTTTCTCCTCTATGCTAGTCACCGTTTTTCAATCCAGAGTAACAATTTGTTTAATTTGATTGTTCCTCAGAAGGCCCTACAACTTAACTGACTTTATGAATCACTTAGATTTATTGCCAATTGCAGCTTGTTGTTTTATAATAACCATTTGTCCTTACTTCAGCACTCAGAGATTTCGGCAAGTATTTTGGCCTGGGTATTTTGAAATGACAGAGCAACCCAATATCCATGCGTAGCTGAAGATGAGAAGTGTAAACACAGAGAATTACATTGATATTCTTCAGCTCAGCATGGAATTGGAAAGAATTTAGGTAGCAAACGATGCTGGTCCCCAGGTAAAAAAAAAATCCCTTGCAATAAAGCAAGAATTTTTATTATTGTAAATTAGCACAAGCTACGCTTACTTTATCTCAGTCAGTGCTGAAGGTAGTGACAAAGATGAATTCAATGTCTCTGCATGTCTTGGTCCTCCCCCAGAAGATGGGCATCCCGGGGTGATACTCACGGCGGTCGCAGCGGGCCCCGTGGTACCCGGGGCGGCACGCACAGTCACCGGTGACCGGGTGACAATCCTCCTCGGCGGAGCACTGACAGCCTTGGTTACAGTTCTTGCCATACGTGCTTGGTGGACAGGCTTGGGGAAGAGGAAATGTAAACCAATAAATTAAATTTGTCTTGGTAAATATAGCACTCAAACAAAGAGCAAGCTCAAATTTATTAAATAAAACCCCTGCCTACAGAACTATGCCATCCTCCGGGACTTTGGATTTATTGCATTTACTTGGGGGTTACTTCACTGCTTGATTTTGTTTCGTTCAGTCAATTTGTGCCCAACTGTCAAGGGCCAGATACAATTTTCTTGTCACTAGAGAAAATCATAGGGAAATGTCAGGTAAAATTGACTAAAATAACAGTATAACTCACCAGGGACCAGGCATATGGATAAAGACATTCTACCTTTTGCAGGGAGTTTAAACTTGCAAAGCTGCTTTGGCACAAACATTTTTACAGGTTTCATTTCACCCGCTGACAGACACATCGTCTGCGTTTTGTGAACTTTCCCTGTCTAATTCCTACACGGCTGCTCACTGCACGATTGCCGTAGCTCGGACCAGCCTCAGAGGATGTATGAGGTAGAGCGGTGCCAGCCATGGCCGGCAGCTCTGAGCACAGGCCGAGCTGGGCCATCCCTGAGGAGGAGGCCTTGGGCTAGGTGCAGACCACCTTGCAGAGAGGACATGAGGGGATGGGAGAGACAGCAGAAGGTGGCAGGAGCACTGCCGGTGGCTATAGGTCGTCCAGCAACTCTTACTGGGAGGACGAGCAATATTCAACTATCCCAAATCCTGATTTTGCCTTGAGTGGTGCCAGCAGCAGCTGAGCACCGTTGACATCTTTCAGCCCCGGCTTAGCCAGGGTCAGGCCTGGTGGTTTCTCACTGCCACGTCTATTAAGTTACAGTGGTTTGGGGGAAGAATTTAATCCTTTAGTGGAGGACCCCAATGTCAACTCTTTTTGAGTGTTGCTCTTATTTGATTGAAGCAGTGCTCAGGCAAAATGTTGTGAGGAGGAACCAAGTCAAGGCTATGCAGCCAGGGTCACAGAAAAAAGCCTACGTTCAGAGACAGCTCCACACAGCCAAATTCAACACTGAAGAAAAACTAGATAATGACATTTCCATGAGCTCTGATGGGCAGGAACAGAAGGTCTCTCACATGGACCAGGCCAACAGAAAGCAGAGCTGCTGCTTTACCCGCGGCACCTCCTGACCCTGTTTTTATCCAGTTCAGTCCACAGTTGCTTTCTGCCAGCCTGAGGGCTGGAAACATCAAGAGCACAAATCTCATCTGCCTAAACCGGGCTGAGCACAGGGGTGAGAACCAGCCAAATCATTTGGCTGAGTGATACACAGCGTAGGGGGGCAGCTGTACGCCGCACCCCAACCCATGTCCACTGCCGTGAGGTTGTTTTCTCCTACCTCAGCCACTAACTGTATCATCAGCTTTTTACTTAAGAAATTAATTGATCCCCTGTAGTATTTTTTTGCAGTTTCAGGCCTTACAACTTACTTCTCTCACAGCTGAAGCCGGTGAATCCCGGAGGACAGCCGCACTTGCCCGTCAGGTGGTGGCAGGGGGTGCCGGCAGGGCACCGGCACCGCTGGGCACAGCCCATGCCGTAGTGACCAGGCAAGCAAGCTGCAAGGGTGACACCATTAGTAACCGGGCAGGACAGCACAGAGCTACCCCCTCGGACAGACACACTGCACACATCCCTGTGAGCACTTCAGAACCGACCCAGAGTGAAAGGATCCGGCCACCTACCGGGATCAGGGAGGAACACCCACACCAGCCCGAGCTTTGCTCACTGAAGGCCCCGCAGCCACTCACGTTTGTCACAGTGCCTCCCTCGCCACCCCTTTTTGCAGCGACACGCTCCCGTCTGGTGGTGGCAGGACACGCTGTGTACGCAGTCACATTGCTCCTCGCACCGCTCGCCAAAAAATCCAGGGGGACAGACTGCGAGGAGAAGCAGACAGAGAGCAACAGCTTGTGCTGCTGCACGGAAAGCACTGCTCGCTGGCGAACGTGCCAGTATTGTTCTTCTTGCACATGGTGGTGTGAATTAGGGGACTGCATGCCCAGAATATGTAATTGAAGTAAAATATGTTAAAAATATTAAAAGCATTTATCACTGGCTATTAATGAGTCCACATAAGAAAGCTTGTAAAGACTTGCTCCTAGTCTAGAGTACAAATCCAGATGGTCTCTTTAGAGATGGCGACTCCGTTTACTTTTGCAGTTATGTGCACAGCCTGACGGACAGCCGTCAGGACAGTGAGAACAGTGTCCCTGTGCTGCTTTCCACCTCATGAGTCTCTACAAAGTGATCAAAGAGAAAGTGAGGCCTGAAGAAATGGAAGGGCTTTACAGGTCTCCTTGGTGGCCAAGGCTTCAGGAGTCCTCAGCAGTTCATGATGAGTCACAAAAGAGCTTGTGGCTTGCAAAAGTCACAGCAAGCCAGTGTGATGAACTGAAGGCACATATCATTCATCTGACACCTAGTGCTTAGGAGGTTGCTATTTAAGGGATTTACATCGATCTAAACATGCCAGACAGCTATGTCAAATTTGGGCAATTTGGACTATAATGGGACATGTGAGGTAGGTGCAACTTGAACCATTACAGCCTGATGTGCTGAGCTGCCCTCAATGACACACAGATGCAGCAGCGTGTGGCTGATCTGGCAAACTCTGCTTGCAAGGCAATTCCTTCCATGTGTTCTTCCTTGGAGCTGTAAGGCCAAGAAATACCTCTCTTTTCTTAGCAGTCAGGGAACACGACTAGAAGGACATAAAATGATTTGGAGCATGGCATGTGTTTGGGTTGAGCAGAGACCAGCCTCCAGGGCTCATGGACACCTGGTGAGCTCTCATACCTGCACTGTTTCTTACTTGCCTACAGAATAGTGGAAAATTAAGACACAAAATAGAAACAGCCTCCATACTGCAGCAGAAACAGCTGATTGCAGAAGCGCGTGCCAAAAAAAAGCCTCTAAAGAAGGAACTGCCCTCACCAGCATCGCAGCGCTCCCCCATCCAGCCGGCGTGGCAGATGCACTTCCCTGAGAGCCGGTCACAAGCCCCGTGGTGGCAGCTGCAGTTCTGCCCACAGCCCTCTCCGTATCTCCCGTCCTCACACTCTGGAACGAGACAGCAGAGTGACAAGGGCCAGGACAATGGCACGAGGTGCAGGAGTGCTAGAAACTATGAGGAGACTCACCGAGCTCACAGGCTGCTCCTGTCCAGCCCTTGGGACACCAGCACTCGCCCGTCACGCGGTCGCACGTAGCCTGGCTGTGGCAGAGGCAGCGCTGCAGGCAGTTGGCACCGTACCACCCAGGAGGACAGGCTGCAAAGAGGAGTTAAACAGCAACAGCCTTGAATTAAGAAGTGCAGGCACACACAGGCTGAACGCAAACTTCCCCCAGCTTACACCCTCCGTAGCCCCAGTGGTTGTGTAGGTAGGAGGAGGTACAACAGAGTACAAACAGGGTGCATGACTTGCAAGGAATTACATCAGTAAAACTGCTCTCGGAACAAAATACATGAAAAGGCAGCTGATGAAGTGAGTTAACCTCAATTCGCCAAACAACCTTGAGATTTTCTGTTCACACCTACGAAAAACAAATCTTGGTTCCCAGCGGCTTCCTCAGCACCAAGAAATGGAGATATCGATTTGCAGCTTTCGGCATCAATTTGTACTGTGCTCTTAAAATCACAATTACTTTTCTAATGAGCAATTGACTTCGCTATCCACAGCGGGCTGATAACATTTTACAGTTTACCTAATTTTAAGTTAAGCAAGTTCGCTGATTCCCATCACAACTGGAGCCTATGGGTAGAACCTATTTTTTTGGCACAAAATATAGAGATTTCTGGCAGAATGGCACCTTTTTAAGACGTTAACAGGAGCAAGTTCTCCCTCTGCCAAAGCACAGTCACAGGAGGGTGGCTCAGCCATCCTCACTCACTTATTCTACCTCCTTACTTCCAAAGGGAAAAGAAAAGTACAGAAATCTCCAAATGCATCATTAAAGAAAAAGGGTATGTTTGGCAACGTCTCCATACTTGGCAATAGCTTTTTTTACTTGTGCTTCGGTTTCGTGTTTGAGGCCTTTAGGCAAACCAGGAAATTTTAAAGCGTATTTTACACGTGATCATGAAGAGTTTGGTGTCTTCCCAGCTTTGTATCCCTTCATGAAACGTCCTCTTCACATTAGGTTTTAAAGGTGGACCCCTCACCCCAGCTAGCTTTCATCCCCTGTACCCAACGTCCTCCTCTCGTTGCACTGAGCTGGTGGTTGTCCTAAATCCTAGCTCCCCACATGCACCTGCAGCCATACGTGTGTCACGCTCTGGCCATCCCTGCTGTGTGGCACTGCTTACAGCACAAGGCACCCTGAGAGGGAGGCACACAGACAGGACCCTGTTGCAACAGGGAAGGACAGCTTTCCCTTTAATTTTGGCTCCAGCAGAAGAGGATGTGCAACACAAGCCTCAGTGCAGCCGTTCTTTGCCAGCCTCCTTCCTTAGGACTGCTTGGAGCTGGGCTTGTGTTTGAGTCACACGCACTGGGGTAGGTGCCAAGGCTGGAGCTCCCAATGCCTTTCGCATGTTCTGGATTTAGCCTGTGGCTGGAACAACGCACGGCAATGATGTGAATCAGTCAAACACATGGGGCAATAAAGCAGAACACAGAAAAGAAACAGAACTGTGTTTCAATGGCATAAATGGAGGTTTTATGGACCTTTCCTCCCTCAACCAGCCAGCCTTCAAGATCAGCTCTCTCACAGATCAGCTGGAGATCAGCTCCCCTTCCAGGCTCTGCTTCAGCCCCCTCTGCCTCATCACCACCGAGCTCCCAACATGTGTGCCCGTGATGTGGTTCACAGGTTGTGCTAATGGACCAGACTGCACTACTGTGTGGGTACAAAACTGGTGACAACAGTGCCCCGAGCTGGTGATTCACAAAGCAGTGAAGCCCTGATAAGAAATTTCATTTTGCCCTTCTATAATTTTTCAATAGGAGAGTGAAATCCCTGTACCTTCTTGGCAGGTGGCTCCTTTCCAGCCGGGGGTACAAGCACACGTCCCGGTGACATGATCACAGAGCGCTCCGTTGTGACAGTCGCAGGTGTGAGAGCAGCCTTGCCCGTACCTGTCCCGCTGGCAGGCTGCAACGAGAGAAGCCCCAGAAGCAATCAGAGCACACCAGAGGAGGCATCGTGCAGAGAAACCCTGAGACAGACCCCGATGCCGGGGAGATCAGCTGGAAATTGGCTGCTGATGGGACTCTTCTCACATCTTAAGGGTGCCTAAGTCCATACATTAACCATGCCTGACACTAAATAACGTGGCTTAAATATATGTATCATAGCACGTTCTGAGGAGGCTTTTATCAGAGAGTAGGATCTCTCTGGTGATGGATCAGCTGTCATCCCCCTGCCCTGCAGAATGTCTTTGTGCTGAACTAATGGTCCAGCAGAACCGCCAGCCTGACAGCCCGGATATTTATTTGCATCCTGGTAAGAGAACTGACAACTTCATTGTTTTCATTGTTCATTTTTCACAGTTGGATGCATCAGCTCACCCAGAGCCTCATTCTTTGGTCAGAGAGGAGTGATATTTTCAACACATTCAGCTAAGCAGCTGGCTCCCAGGTGAAAACTTAACACAACCATCTCACAAATATACACTCGCTGCAGCTCCGTTTCAGTGCTGCTGGTGCTGCCGCCCATGAAGAATGGCAATGATAAAATTTTTCTGGTCTCCAGTGCACTGGAGATTTGGATAGCTTTAAATGGGGGAAAACTGACAGCCTTGCTACTCTGTTTTCTTGGAATATCATCCACAGAATACAAAGCGAGTCGCTGAAGTTGGATAGCCTCGTTGCACGGTTCTGGGTCTGCATTACAGAGGCTCTCATTCACTTGCACGAAGCTGTCAGAGCCTCTCATCCCTGCAGCACTGCTGGCATGCACTGGAGAGGCTAGAACAGCTCTGATCCGCCATCCAGAAAAGTGTCCTTCACGCGCTGAATGTGACATCTTCCAGGATCTGACCCAAACTATCACTTTCCACAGAACCTCTCCGCCTCTGAGGGTGTCAGCTTGCAGAACTCGATGTAGTGCTGCAGGAGGACACATCCCAGGGGGCAGAAGGGAGGAGTGAAATCATCCCGACCTCAGGGATGAGTCTGGTTGACTCTCTGACCATTCACAGCCCTTTTCTTCCCATCTGAAGACTTCCAGCTTCCCGACATGGTTCTCACAGACACTATTCCTCCTAGGACTTCTCAACAATGTTAATTTTTTTTTCATCGCCTGGACCCCATCCACATTAAAACCACAAGAAAGTGCAGGAGCACAGTCCCATCACAGTTCAAGTTTGTTCTGCAAATGAGGCTTGATTGCCAAGTTCAAGTTGACGGGTTCAGCCCATCTTACAGAGCTCTGGCTCAGTTTTGGGAGCAGAACTCAATATTTCCACAATACAGACCAGAACTGTATCATAACCATGCCAAAGGAAAAACCAGCTCACAACCAGGTCCTCTGACTGGTTACCAGTGGTTTGTGGGAGGTTTTTGGAATATGTGTGCAAAGCTCTTGCTCTACTTACTAAGACAGAAGAGTTTTCTAGTGAAAATCCTAGTAAGAAAGCAGAAATTTCTGGAGAGGAAAACTTTAATTATTCCACTGGGTGCACACAAACTTTTTTAGCTTCTCTGTAGGACAAACCTAATTATCAAACTACTTTTCTAAAGAGTAAGATAAGTGGAATATTGCAGTTGTTGTACAAAGTTCCTCAACCGAGTGTACAAATATCCCTGGGGCTTTTTCTCCTTTCTTTATGACGAGTGCAAAGGAAAGGAGCAACAGCGAGGTTTAAATTATTACACTTCTTCCTGCTTCAATTTTTTTCTCTCAGCGCCTTTCCTCTGTAAAAGGGGGAATTATTCACTTGATGTCTTTAAAATCTGTTTTTACATGCAGCGTCAGGAGCACATGAAACTGGAGGCCAAAACATTCAGACTGGAAGTCAACATCTATCAAAAGTGTAGGGGAGCACAGGGTAAAGATGTGCGCTACGACTCAATAGGGTGCCCAGAAGATTGGATTTCATGCCGTTTCCACAGATTATGCTTCCCAAAATGAAGCTGCTGCTTTTAAAGAACAGGAAATTTGCAAAGTCAAGTGCTCACACACTATGAAATGTCAAAACTCTGGTTATCAGTGCCCCTGAGCAGAGACTCTGGAAGAGCCAATCTTTCTGTACTCATTTATCTTAAAAAACAACGTGGTCTCTTTTTATCACAAGGAACAGCTTCTGTGGAGGTCCTGGGGAGCCCCAGCTGCTTCAGAAAGAGGCATTTTTAGTGCCTTATATCTTCATGCCAAATATCAAGTTATCACTTCTAAATCTTTGCAGCATCATGACAGTGAACAAAACAGCTCAATTCTTAAGCACCAGCAGTACACCTAAAACTTCTTGGAAACCTGAAATACCTTAGGTGGACGCTTAAAAATTTTAAAAATAACAAAATTAAATAAAATTGCCAAATACAACCATAAGCTGAGGCAGAGCTTGCTTGGCAGATTTCATCCCAAATGATTATAACTCATTTACAAGCAACTGTAAAACACAGTTTTGTAATGGAAAGCGTTAGGCAGCTTTAACAAAAGGCATTACTGTCCATATCTCCCATAATTAGATAGAAAATTATTATAACTCATTTACAAGCAACTGTAAAGCACGGTCTTGTAATGGAAAGTGTTAGGCAGCTTTAACAAAAGGCATTACTGTCTGTATCTCCTGTAATTAGATAGCAGCGTATAAAATGCACTGCATGGCCAGCTTAGGATCAATTCAAATCCCATGATGTCAAAATTATTCCTCAATATCCTCCAGCACGTTGCCTGCAATCTGATTACTGGAAAACAAATGCTGATCTTCCAGCTGCTGAAGCTGACGAGCCCCAGGAAAGGGTAGGGTGAATATTAAATGCTGGGCAGGGACGGGGAGTCGGGGACAAGGGTACCCAGCTTGTGGCTGTGATCCTCGGAGCAGCTCTGGAGCTGAGGTCAGCTCCTGGAGGCATGGACCAGGGCTTAGGCCTTCATGGGACTCCCTTCTTGTTTCTGAGGGGATCTTTACTGTGCCTGTGGCTGTAAAAATCAGGCTCCCTGCAAGCTTCTCCCCTGTCCTCAAGTCCCTCAAGAACACCCCAGAGCCGTGTGTGACCAGACGACCCGAAAAGGGGCCCCTGCCATCTATTTGTTAGCACGTGCTGTATACAAGGCATTACCAGGCAGTCAAAGTCAAAATGAAGATGCATCGTGTAGCCAAGGGAAGAGCAGTTTGCCCTTCTGTGCTGCTGGCTGACCTTGCTCTTTTACTTACGGGCAGAGGCGGCCTCAGAGGCTTTGGCATCTTAACCAGCACGAGGAATAAATCAGCCTGGCACAAGGCTCTAATAGCTGTGGTGCGAGAGGATAAATAGTTTCTTCCTCATGTGAGAAGGGGGCACAAGGCCATTGAGAAAGAGCTGCATTTCTTAATTGAATTTAATGAAATATGTCAGAACAGAGCTTCCCATCCCTAAGACATCCCAGAGAGCCGGGAAGGGCCAAGGAGACAGATGGCTCTATCAAAGGAGCAGGGGACTTTACTGGAGAAGCCCTTTCAGAAGACAGGCTGGGTGGTGGAGGGCAAATGAGGGAAAGATGCCAAGAGCAAGTGCAGTCCTCCAGCAGGGCTGGGTATATCACAGTACCTGGCTGGAGAATTGGATTGTTTCAATACAGGCACCATCTCTAAGTTAAATTAATTTTCTCCCGCAGAAATCTACAACCTATGGATTAAAGAAATCTCATAAATAAGTGCTCACTAACAGCAAAAGTTGGCTCTGTGTATGCTGCTGAACAAACTGGTCCTCTTACTAACCCCAAGAGTGTGGGATAATCCATGCTCGTGAAAATCCAGGAAGCCAACTTCTTTTTTTTTTTCAAAGCAAATAACTTTCCTAAGAATTAGTTATAAAACTATTTTCTCATGGTCATATAACAAAACAGTCCCTGCTCCAATTTTTCCACGTTGTGCATTTGTAATCTGTCACTTTATAATTGATAGCCAGATGAGATACACCAGGCACACAGACACGACACTTCACCTCCTGATGCTTCACAAAAATGTAAAGCTGAGATTCCTCACACGGTCAGATATAGCACTGCTATTTAAAATCCGATGCTTAAAATATTTCAAAAGTCCCAACATCAGCCAAAAAGGAAAAAAAAAAAACTTGATTATTTACACTGCTACCAAAAATTGTTTCCTTTTTAGGCTTTGTTGGAGAGGAACGTGACCCGGCTACCATCATACCCTGGTGGGTCACCCTCCGTTCCCAGCAGAGACCCGTGCCAGGCTGCCGGGGGCCGCGGTGGGTGCGCTACGTACGCTGCTCGCAGGTCTCTCCCAGCCAGCCAGGGAGGCAGCGGCACGTTCCCAGGACGTGGTCGCAGCCCGCAGCGTTCTTGCAGTTGCACACCTGGTGGCAGTCAAGCCCAAAAAATCCTTCTGGACAAGCTGAAAATGCGAAACAACAGTTTTTAGCAAAGTTCTCATATGTACATACATATACCTATATTAGATATATAATTATTGTATCCTGAATGATAATAAAGCTGTAGACACATGAGTGTAAGTCATTCATTCCACAGAAATCCTGAATCATTCAATCTCAGGAGTGATGGTGCTCATTAAATGAGCGGTTATTCCACAAAACTTAGCGCTTTGTCTTCCTTGTTCAATAAAATCTAATATTTAAAACCCAATTCTCACTCTTGCACCATGAATACAGAATGACTGGTTTCCCAGTGGAGCCTTAAATGGTTATCAGAACATACACTATCCAGGAACTCCCCACAACTTTGCAACTCTGGCAGGTCAGAAAAACCCGATATCCGTATTCATCTCCCTTTATTGGACTCTTCTGTTTCTTTTCTTGCCCTGTCTCTTTTTCCAAGTACAGACTCTTTATTCAAGACTATTCCTACTGCTACATCCACCAACATAAATTCAGCCCTCTAACAGAAAGCATTGCTGCCTGTTTTGGCTACAAGGAGGGGAAGAGTCTGTATCTGTAGACAGGCAAACCTGGACCTTCAAACAGGGAGGTCGGTAGTGTAATGCTCTGCAACATCTGCTTTGGCTTCTTCACTCTCCAGAGCTGCTGCTCAGCTCATGATTACATCTGATTGTCTCATTTACTCAAAATCAAAAGGCTGAACTTCTCTTCATCCTGTCCAGACAACAGCTTCTTCTTTGGCATAGGAACAACTTCAGGCTTACGCCACTTTCCAAACATGTACTGTCTCAGAAACACGGAGAAGCACCTGACACTGATGGAAAGCCTTAAAGCACCGGGCAGCCTCTGCGCAGTCCGAACTGGTGAGAGCTGTTATCAAGTTGTAAGGAAGAAACATCAGCATGTGGTTTCAATCTTTATGTCCTTATTTATTATGGATCAGCAGTGTGGATCCACAGCATACAAGAAAGGACATCTACTATTTAACCTCAGGTAGCTTCAAAGGCTGACACAGTTTTCCTTTGTTTAACACAGGGACTACAGAGCATTGCCAGTTATTCTTAGACATGCACAGCATTTTTGTCCCCTTTTATCTTACAAAACCAGAAATCTTACTGGGCTATCTTATGACAACGATCAACTGCAGAGGTCCCAAGAGAGAAGCAGAGGCAGTCTGTCCTGCAGCAGCGCTGATTCCAAATCCAAACGTTGAGTGCTGCACTTCACAGGGGCTAGACATACTGTTATTAATGCATCAGTTCCTAACACACTGTAGGACAAGTCCAAAAATCCCGCTGCCTCCAGCTCTGTGGGATAATTGTGTGGCATTCTGGGATGCTCTGTCAGATGGAGCAGCGAACTGGATAATTCTTCTGCTGGCCTGATGCTGTAATTGGGCATGTGCCTTGGGTCGTACAACACATACCAGAGAGGAGCAGGGAGTGAAGCTAAACAAAACTACAGCACAATGAAGACAATCATAACCTTCAAAGCAGGAGCTGCAGATGCTGAGCACGTCTCAGAACAACATCAGCTCTAACAGCTGCCTTCCCAAGCAAGACCAGAGCACCCTGGTGCAAGGCAGGGAGACCTGGCTTGCTTGGTGGGACACAGTGCTTGCAACAAAGCTGAGAGCACCCATGGCTAACACAGTCACACCTTGATTCTTTCTGCTTTTGTTGGGGTGAACTGTTGGGCTGCCTGACACCAGGAGCCCATGGAAGCCCAGGCTTCCTGCAGGTCCAATACTTACATTTATTTGAAGCCATCGTTGATATATTTAGCAATTGATTACAAGAAAGAATTGTTTTCAGTGAAAAGGTGTATTAACTAACGTACAAATAGCTTCTGACATACAAATTAACTACTTTGCAACTAAAACAGTTTTGCTCTTTTTGCAGCTCTTTTTAAAGTGTTGCAGGGTTCAAAAGATTCATTTTTCTAAAGGACTGAGCAGTGCTGAAAGACAGAGCAGGCACGTACCACCTTCAGAAAGGCCTAATTTTCTTTCAGAGAGTGGCTTTATAGCTTTATTCTTACCCAATATTATATGTGATCGAGCCACTCCTGGAGAGGCAGTAGTGTGATTGAATGCTGCTGGACCAGATGAAGAACAGCTGAGTGAGGCTGGCCCTGAGCAAAGCAGAGATGAGATGCTGACAGACAGACAGAAGTACTTTGAAGAGCGTGTGGCCTCTTCGCAGCACCCTGCTGCTGAGGGCACAGAATTTCTGTCAATTCCTGAAGAATTCGCAGCAAGGTCTCACACAACAGCCCCTGGAGCAACACTATTTCCTAATACTGGTTGGCTTGGAAACTGTCCCATGCTGGTGGATGATGACGTAGCTTTGGGTTATGGTTGTCTGTATTACTGGCAGGCAATATACGTAGGGATGAAACATAAGGAAACGCCAATTTGATCACATTATTGCAAATATCTTCTGAGTCACCATGCTGTCCCTGCTCTTTATACTCTTTTCAGAGAAGAGTGAATCACATACAAGGCCTTGTCTTGTGTCATACCTCCTAAACACTCCGTTCTAGTCAATGGGAAGGTTTGCCTTCATTCAGTTAAACTGAAATATGACTGAAATGTTGTCCCTGCCCCAAACACCACGGCACTTTCAGGTGTGACAATGCTTTTCACTTGAGCTGGCTGCCTTGGCAGGGAATAAGATACCTCAGCATGTCAGCTGGTAACACGACTGCTCGAGGCTACAAACACAGGCTCGCTTGCCCACGGTGCCATAAATCCTCCATGAGCTTCTACAACTGCCCCTGGGCATCCGCAGAGGCAGAGGAAGCTGGATAAGCCTGGTTAACTTCACCATAAAGAGAAAGCCCAACGCTGAGACTTGCGAGGGCTAAGATTACACTAACAATACTGAAAAATAATAGAGATTATGGAAATTCATGGCAAATAAAGAAATGAGGGCTCATTTCATTATTAACGCCTGTAAGGTTTTACCTTCTCCTAGGATTCTAAACTTGGAAAGCTGCAAAATTTTCAGTTTCTGTGATGATGGAAAAGCCCTTCCTAGCCCCGGGATGAAGCACCAGTGGTATGTTGGCACTCGAAGACGACTCAGCAGCTCCAGCTCTCCAGCGTTATGTTCTCACATGAGATGCCTGAAAGGCGCAGAGCTTGGCCGAAGTGGGAGGATTGTCAAGAGTACAGCAAAAAGCACAGCCCTGCCAGAAGGAAACCCTGCCAGTCTCCGAGTCACTAAAAACAGAAGTGTTACAGCTCCTCAGAGAAAAGGTGCCAGAAAGTTCTACCAAGGGCAAGCCACCCACACATTTCCTGCGTCTTCATTTTTTTTTGGAACCAACCAAACCATTCTAGATGAAACTTTCTATTTGAAAAGGTAAAACAGGTCAGCTCAGAGCAAACACCCCGTCTTTTTGAGAGAAAACATGCAGAAAAAAGGGACTTCTGACAGCCCAAGGGTCATGAATGATAGACACAAAATTCTACCTTCCCCCCCCCACCATCTTCTTCCAGCAATTAAAAAAAAAATAAAAACATCCAACATGACTGATCTGGAAGCTGAAACTGTGTTTGTTTTTTTTTTTTTCAATTGATATCACCCTGGTTTCCCCCTATTTCTCACACCTACTTTGGAGCAGGATATTCAGCCTCTTTGTCCTTATTTTGATTTCTGCTGAAATGCAGATTTACACAACACATAACTGTATTGCTTTTCCAGTACAGTTACAAATTTGTTAGAGTCCAGCAGAAATTATCCATGTCTTTGGTACATCAAATGCTAGCAAACACCCCCCATACAGAATGACTTAATTTCCAATTGAATGAAGTTAAGTCAGTCAGTTTGGCTTGTCAGCTCCCAATGTCAAAACTATTAAAAAATTGCAAAGGAGTCACAGGACATGCACTGGGGCACGTGTAAGAACTGTGCTGATTTGTCAGTGGCCTTGGGGCACACTCCCTTGTGCATAAATAATAATAATAATAAAATCTTATTAAAACAGAGATTAAATAATAGTTTTTAAAAAGTCACATGGCATCGATTCCAGAAAGTATGAGGCACACGTGGCAGGAGAGATTTGGAAATTATATTTATTTTGTACAATAATTCCTGTTAAGAAGGCGAGGGAAATACCAAGCCCTATTTAACTGCAGCTAGTTGGGTCCTCCACTACATCACTGGGAAGGCTGTGCAGCACCTTCCTGCCCATCAGAGGGCAGTCGGTGCCTGCGAGTGGTGCCATTTCCCTCTATCGGAGTCTAATGCTGCCTCCATAAATTGCTTGATAAGGCTGCTTTCTAAACAAAATAATTGTGGCTTTGGTTTAATGATCATCATTTATAAAATCTTCAGTCATTTAGACGAATAATTTTCAGAATGTCTGACTTCATGCTGGTTCTTTTGTATCCAAAGCCCTATTTTTTATGATCTGCACAATGATACAGCACTGCAGCAGGCTCCCTAGATGATGCCACAGACTGACTCACAATAATTTATCTAAGAAATCCTGCCCATCATTTCCATCTCTAGAAAATTATCAAGTGATAGAAGAGGATCTGGTGGATTTATTGAAGTTAAAAGGATGTGTGTCCTTAAAGAGTTCATATGGAAAGATGCACAGCTCCATGTTTTTCTCTCCAACATTTCAGAGATGCACTAGGAGTAAGCAAATCTAAGGCCTGACAAACATCTTTGTGCTCAGTGCTAAAGTAGCATCGTGCTCCCATTAAGTTCGATGGTTTATTTAGATCAGTTGCTGCAAACTGGAAAACCAGCTCTGTGGTGATCTGAAACAAGCCATGTGCATAGTAAGGGAGGGGTGCAGTGCAAGCAGCAGTACCTTTTCCACAGAAGGTCCCCATCCAGCCAGCACCACAAGTGCAGGCTCCGCTCACGTGGTCGCAGACGGCTCCGTTCTGGCACTGGCAGCTGTGCTCGCAGTTCGGGCCAAAGCTTCCCTCGGGGCATCCTGCAGTGGGGAATCAAAACCAGATGACGGGTTAATTCTGGAGCAGACCACGGATCAGCGGGGAATTTTTAGATACATGGGAATTCTGACTATTTGCAAAAGGAGAATTGAGGCATACAGGTAATGCCCTAAAACCGAGATCATTAAGCGCTCTCCTTGGGGTGCAGCTAAGCTGGGCTGTTTTTGTGAAAGCTTATTTTAGAAAAATGTCAGGGTGTTGAAAGCCTAAATTCTGCACAGGAAAGTAATATCTTGTGATAGTTGCAAAGCCTGCAACTCCACAGTTGCTGCTTGATGACACTTTACACACTGGTCTAGCACTGCTGGCTGGCACGTGTCCTCTGGGACGTCCACAGCCAGGAAGGGGAAAGCTCCGAGCTTCAGTGCCTCCTCTTGAGGCCCTGTCCTCTGTTTTCCTGCAAATCCTTATTCCCCAGAAAGCTGGAGAAAATATGCAATGTGTTGGCCTCCTTCAAAAAGCTCCAAACTGAACGCTGCATAATTCACTTTCAGGCTCTGCTTTGAAAAACTCAGCCTAACGCATTACATCTGGGGGACAGATTAACAATTACAATTCCACCGCAGTTAATGTTAGCAGTTTTAAAAGATTTGCACGGTGTTCACTATCTGAAGAAATAAAACAGCATTTGAGAATGAAAATAAGTTCTTCCAGGATTATAGGAAAATCAATTAAGAAGAGGGCCAGTTGCCTAATTGACATTAGATATTTTGGACAAGCTGAAATGCAGAGATATGCTTAGGCTAAACACAATATTGCATGGCCTCTATTCAAGTTTGAAGGTACTGTGAACTTCCCTCTAGATAAGCTATGCAGATTATTGCCAGCTCTCTTAAAAAAAGTGTAGGATTTTAGCAATTATACCAACAAAGTGATTTTCAGGCAATCTGGAAAGAATCACGGAGAACAGAAAACAGTGAGGATCCTCAAAGACACCTCTCTGCCTGCAATACAGCAGTGTTTGCTGCTGCCTCTTTGGTGCTGTAGGAGGACAGGGAGAGAAGCCAGTGCAAATTTGGTCATTCTTCAGGTTAGTGACTCTCTACTAACCGGAGCCATCCCCTGGGTCTCTTACAGAGGCTATACATTGGGATGGGGAACAGAAGGATATCGAGGTACCCCCTTTCTTTGCTTTCACTCATCTGTGTCTGAAAATGGGACATTGCTTAGTGGTGAACTTGCTTCAATGTATGTGCACTTAACAGGTGAAATGCAGTCCCAGTGTTGAATTGTATTCCAGTGCAGCAGCAGGTGGGGGCTCTCGGTGAGCTTCCTTCAAGCCTGCGGCGTTTGGCCCGGAGCCGAGACTTTCAAGGTGATGGCAATGGGTCAGTACATCTCACAAACGATTTCACAGTCCACATCACAGAGAATCTGCCCTCTGCTCAGGCAGGCATGCCCAGAAACATCCCCAGCTCCGGAGAACCTGAGCTGACTGCAAAGCTGCCAGGAGAAAGAGCCCGACCTGCGGCAAGGGCCCTGGTATGCCTCGGGAGCAGGGGAGCTCTTGGATGATAACAAAAACCTCGCCTCCAAAAGTGCTTAGGGAAGAGTTACTGCTTTCATAATCCTGCTCACACACACACAGATGTATGTATTATATAGATATATAAATACGTAATTAAAGTGGGGTGAAATGCAGACTGAAGAAAACAGCAAACCTAGAGAGGGAACATCAGGGGTTGCCAAAATTTTTCTCTGAAGCGATGGCTTCATTAATTGCCTTGCCTGTGTCAGAGAAGACGAAGCTCAGCTGTTTGGCTACTTCCTATCTGCAGAGATGCCATTTTGAGAGAGGTCAAGAGAGAAAGCTAAGTGGAGCTGGCAGCTCTTTCTCTAGGAGCTGGGCTTCCCATAACTGACCTTCCATTCCCTCTGTGCCAACAGCAACAAGAGCAACTTTCCAGGGTTTTTGTCTTAGGTCACCGTTCCAGATTAATTGTTTTGACATTTCTGTGTGACACCAGCAGTTAATTCTGCCTGCACTACTGAGACTCTGGTAGCTGGATCTGTGGTGCTGTAAGATTCTAAAACTAATAGATAAAATCTTTGTTTTATTCAATAACAAAAACTATAATAAAATAGTGCAGCTATGCAACTTACTGCCACAAGATGAACCGGATACCAAATGTTTGCATGGAATAAAAAAGGAAAGAGGCACATTAATTGGAAACAAATACCACGTCGTATTAAATATAGAGATATTGCTTCTGTTTCAAGAAGCTCCCACGTGACAAATTGCTGAAACCTGGGAAAATGTCAGAAATTCTCTATATATCTGTTTTTATCCTCTTAAGGCTTCTGCTATTGACCTCTGCTAGAAACAGATTAGTGGAGAGCATGGGTCACTGGTAAGACCATTGCGCAATTCTTGCCGTTAATAAAGAGAGGACCCCAAACCTTCCTGATTTTGCTTCTGTTATGTACATGCAAAGCATTTCTAATTTCTATCTGTCCGGTCTTAAAGAGCATTTATAAAGACATGCATATGTAAAATTGAAAATATATAACTGATATGGAAAATTTTATGCCAGAAGCCAAGCACACGTCAATCCTATCATTTATGCAAGGTCTTAACATTAAAAATAGCCATTTAGGCCTGAAAATAACTTTTCTGGAATCCAAATTAGTGGAAGTATCTAACCCCAAAGAAACCCGAGATCCCTTCGACACAAGTACTCAGTGCCATGGAGGCCAAGTAGCCGCAGCTCCTCCTCAAGTCAGTTATAAGGAAAAACAATTTCCGCTCCTTGGTTTTGCAAATTCCTCCTGTTGACAAAGTTGCAACTCACTCTGTTCGCAGTATTTCCCAGTAAATCCTGGCTCACAGAAACAAGATCCAGTGACAGGGTCGCAGCTACCATCACTGTTATTGCAGACACAGGTGTTTTCGCAGCGCAGTCCCCAGCGGCCACTACTGCAGGCTGAAATGCAAAACAGCATTTATGTTGAGAATGAACTTTGAGCTTGGCTGATGAATTATTTTACATCTAAATAACAGAATAGAGAAGACGCAAAATAGCCCCTTAATATACAGGCACTCTGGACTAGACTCAGCTGCAGCAAGTGGCATAAATCGATAGAAATAAATACAGTTTTGCTCATTTATCCCAGCTGAAAGTAGGGGTCCATAGGCAGTATTACATCTGTATAAAAACTATTCATTTACAGTCAGTCCCTATCAAGCACAGTCACAGAGGCTTTCATAGAAACAAAATATCAAGTAGGAGCTGACTTAGCAAAAATCCAAATAATCAGAATTAGCTGGTAGCTACAACAAGCATCCAAATTGAATAAAAAATCACTTCTTATTAGCAATTAGCCGTTTGCAGGAATTACAAATGGACAAGGCAGCTTCTTTGCCTCCTGAAGGCTGGATGCCTTTCTGCACAAGATGCTTTTGTCAAGTACAGGGAAATGGACTCAGCAGAAGTGTATCTGGATGAGATTGGATGTCCTGTGTTAGACAGGGATTCAGACTTCAAATAATCTAATAGCTGGCTTTCTGGCCTTGAAATGACAGAAGAAAATGGGAGCTTCAGATGTGTACTGTCTCTGAAAATCAATCCTCTTTCAGGTGTGCAAGAAAGGTTTAAGTGTCTGGTGTTAGGACACTTGCATTTGATTTTTGGCAAAATCAGATAAGGCTTATTGTTGTGCAGTGGAATATTTTTATTTTAGTACAAACTGTTTGTTGGAGAGGAGTAGGGCAGGGACAGACAAAGTCCTAAAAGGGAAAAATAAACCTTTTTACCCTCCTGAAAATATGTATTTTGTCTTTCTATGCTTATTTAAGTGCCTGAATGCTTCTGAAATTAAAACAAACAAACAAACAAAAAACAACAAAACAAACAAACAAACAAATAAGCAAAACCAAAATTTTGAAAATTTACAGGGAAGGAGGAAAAAATCATCTTCATGGGACTGCTTGTATTGTCTTGAGCATTTCTACATAAAATCATTGCAAATTTTCCAAAGGTTGCGAATCACCCTGAAATATTTGTTCCCTCCCAGCACTGTGTTGACTGATAGTGGCTACTGAAAAAGAAAACCACACCTTGTTTTAAGACAAGAATTGCTAAAATAGGAAGCATGAGTAAGATTTCTTCCCAAAATACTGGGAGGTGAAAAATGGACGTGGAGAAATCTCACAGTCTTTGTGAAAGCAACTTAACTGCTTTCATTCTAAAAATCATGTAATATGGTTATGACAGCATACCAGAGCTAAAGCACAGCATCTCCTTCCTTTCTTGTAAGGATAAGGATGAATATGTCAATTATGGAAAAAAATTAAGGGTTTTGGAGCTGTACATCTGCTTCCTGCCCAGTTTGCAACAGCTGAAGAGCTGCCTTTCTGAGAGGTCTCTGCAAAACAATCTTGGTCACAGCTTTTCCCATTCAGAAATAAAAGCCTTTCTTTACCATGGTCACATAATTCTTTAGAGAGGCTAAGGATTTATGGAAATTTATCTAAATGGCTCCACACATTTCTGACCGGTTTGACTCTTAAAATATAAATATTGGTGGAAGCTTCAGATCCTCCCAGAATTTTCTTCAGTACCAAGTCTGAGAAACCAGGTCCAAAACCTACTTATGTCAACACTCAAAATTAATTTCTATGATTTTATGTGTTCAAGGCCAAGTTCAGAAAGAACTATTGGCTTTCTGCAGGAGAGATTGTAACAAATCAAGCAGATGTAACACGAGAAAAAGGAAAGAATTAAATGGGATGGGTTAACATTTATATGGTGCTATGCAAAAAGGGCAAATCTGGGCTCTTCTACTGCCATCAATATGGACAGCAATGCTAAAGTCAACAGAGGGATGCTCTTCTCTTCCAGAGAACAGAACTTCTCCCAGCATTTACATTCACAATTCAGGGAGTGACCTTAAGACACAAGGCTGTACATGTCACTCACTTGTTGAATAAATATCCCCTAAACAAAATGAAAAATTGAGAATTAATCTTGAAACTAGTATGTTCTGAAAATTAAAAACAAAACTGCCAGTCAAAATGTTGATAGGACAGATGGTATTGGGCAAAGGGATCCACAGTGTTGAAATAAGAGCTTATATCAATACTTTGCGCTTCATCAGCCATCTATTTCAGCACTTTGAACCTAGATAATTAAGGATTATAACCACCCAGGCTGTGCAAACCCAACACCACACAATTTCAGAAGCAATAAGATTAGCAAAAATACATTAAAAAAAAACACACCTGTAATAGGCTAAGAACAAACAGAGCTGGTTCTTACAGTTGCAGATAAGTCCCTGGGAGATAGCGTATGGCATGGAGAGCAAACACGTGTCTGACTTACGGTGTTTGCAGTCATGGCCAGTCCAGCCAGGGGGACACGTGCACTCCCCGGTGATGTGGTGACACAAAGCGGTGCTGCTACAGCTGCAGGACAGCAGGCAATTTTGTCCATAGAAGCCATCGGGGCAGGCTGAAAGCAGACGAGTAGACTGCAATCTCACCTAGATAATAACTCAGGCACAGACTGATCTTTTCAAAGAAGTCAGCAACAGCTTGTCCCTAAAACATGCATTAGCTGAATTCAGAAATTAAAATGGTAAAATTAAAGAAATATCCGCAATTTGTATGCTGGGTGGCTAGGGCTCAATCCTGGGAAGCAGAACAGCCTGAGCAGCTTTTGGCTACTTTTGCCTACCGGTACCAGTCAGAGGAACCTTCCTCAAATGTGTTGGGTGATTTTGTGATGAACCAGGAGAAAACGTTCTGGTGCTAAGGTCTGCACAAAGCCCACTGTCCTGAGAGCCTGGCTGTACTGCCAGCATGATGGCCATCCTCAAGCAGCCTTTAGTACCCATGGGCTGGGGAAGGAGCCACGCCACAGCAGCACAGACCAGTGGCTTGAGCGACTCTCAGGGTCTCTGGTGGATCTGCACAGCCAGCCCTGATATTACTCCTTTGTCCTCGCTGTTTAATCCAGAGTTAGCTCAATCAAGCAGCAGTGCTGTCAATGTAATCCGTGAGTGAAGCCACAGGGGCCAGTTGGTCAGCACCTCTTGCCAATCAGCCGGAATTACAGTGCAAGTATTATGGCTATTAAACACTGCATTGCTACGTAAATGCTGCTTTAAATTGGGTCTAATGATAACATCATCTTGGGATGCAGTTTAGCTTGTCATTTGCATTTATCTGTCATCTCCTCCTGCCTGGCAAAAACGGTCAAACCCAGCGTGGGGAACTCCTCAAGCCGCAGGGTATTTTGCCTTGGATCAACACGCCTAACGTGACAAACACCTCGCGAAACAGCACAAAGGTAAAATTCAAGCCATAAGCTGAGTGGACACATTGAGTCCTGTTTCAGAGAGAGGTCAACACGAGCACTTACGTTCAGAGCAGCCCGTCCCTCTGTACCCCGGGGGACACTCGCAGGCCCCGGTCTCCCCGTTGCACCGGCCCCCCTGGGCACAGGGCTCGCACGAGAACTGGCAGCCTGAGCCCCACTGGCCCTCGGGGCAATCTAGAAAAACAAGCACAGGAGATACCCACGCTGCCATTTGCTGTTTCAAGGCAATTATAGATTCCTGCTGATTAAAAGAATATATGTATATAACAGTAAAACAATGACAGATAACAGAATATTATGTTATCGTTGTAGACTGACAGCGCTTTCACAGTAAATCTTCTGAGTCAACATGATCCTGTGCTGCAGCACACAAGACAGACACAGAGGCTCTCTTCCAGCTTCCGTTGCTGTGTGTCTGTTTTTTGGTTTTGTTTTTGATACAGTAACATCGTGAGCACTTGGATATCTGCATCTGAAAAATGAATTACTGCACTCAGCAAAAGAAAAACAGAATAGAGATTCAGGAGAGGAGGGCTGCTTTTGTATTTCTGCCAGGCAGAGTGGGGGACAGGACAGTCATAATTTGAAGAGCTGCACCCCTAGCATCCCACCTAGCTGTGCTAGTAACACCCTGTTTCCTGCCCGTGGTGGATGCAGAGAGGCTGGAGGTGAGGTGCAGCCCAAGCCCACACCCAGTTCCACCTCTCGTGTTCTGCTGTCCAGAGCAGTGCCATGGCCAACGCTCTGCAAGTGGCAGAGGGGCATCCCCTGGCCCCCTGGTAGTTCAGTGTTCTGAGACCTTCACCCCTTTTCTTAATTTCCCACAATAACGTACTCCTATTCATTCCCTTCATCTATTCCAGATCCTTCACTTGCTGATTCCACACGTGGACCAGATGACGGCTTCCAACCTAAACCATTCTGTGATCTGTCTTTGGCCAACACCCTTCAGGAGCTTCTACAGCACACTATGCGCATGCAGCAGCATGGTCCCAAGCTCTGCTCTTGGACCCAGAGCTGCTGCAATGCCCTGACATCTCTGCCCAACTTGCATAAACCCTGCCCAGGGGGGTTATGCAAGTAACTGCATCATGCAAATAAGTGCATCATGCTCCCTCTCCACAAGCAGTCTCACATGGTAGATATCGTATATTCTGCACCAAGACTTATCCTTTAAAGACCTGTTCTTCAAATAAAGCATATTGCAGTTTTGGTGAGAAGAACAATTCAGCTTCTTCCCCCGTCTGCCAAAGCAGAACACTCAGTGCCCTAGCCAACACTGAACTCACCTTCCTCACAGGTAGCACCAGTTTTCCCAGCTGGACAAATACATTTCCCAGTCCGTGGGTCACACGGAGCTCCTCCGCAGCTGCAGCTCTGCCCACAGTTCACGCCGAAGCTCCCAGGCGGACAAGCTGTGCAAAGGAAAGCCCAAAAGCTGATGAATACAACCGAGCATTTAGAAGATATTAGGAGTCACCAACAACAGCAATTTGAAACTGAGCAGTGCTGGCACAGAATGATCTATGTTAGCATCAGTGTCTCATGCCAGCAGCAAATGTACCCTTTAATCTGCAGCTTCTGCCTCTGAACATAAGGTTCACGAGTAAAATTTCCCATCCAGTGTGTACCTCCCGGGGAAACACGCAGTGAGTACCTACATAAATGGCATTTTTCTCCATGAAAACCAGGTGGGCAGGGATGTTTGCAGGCTCCTGTCTCACGATTGCACAAAGCGTCGGTAGAACAGTTGCACCTCAGTTTGCAACCAGCCCCATAAAAGCCAGGCGAGCACTCTGGAAAATGCGAGAAAATGCAGAACATGGATAAGAAAAAGCAAGAGCTGAAGAAAATGAACAGAAGTCAGAAAAAAAAATAGCAGAAATTTACAGAAAAATCTATTATAACATATTTCAGAGGTGTTAATAATGAAATGTAAATAGTAATTAAACACATGCATGGCCATTTCAGAGAGGTTACTGCTTAAATACAACCCAGAACCAGAGTGGCAGAATACTTAAGCCCAGATTCAAATACTGAGCCATTACAGAATTACTCTTCTTATCTGTTTATACCTTCTGCTGCTCTCTGCCTTTGTGCAAAGCCAGTGCTGGGTGAGATGCTCTCCCCCAGAATTTAGCAGACCACCAAGAACACTAAAGATATTAAATATCATCACTACTATTCTCCACCAAACCCCCCAGAACCAGTGTCATAAATCTGACACGTTTCTGCATGCCTGGAGAGGAATCTGAAGGGAAAATCTTTATTGCGTTACTCCATTACTGTCTACAGAGATATGCAAACAAGAATGCAGAACACAATTCTCTTTGAACTGTCCCCAAAACTACAAAGAATAAGTTGAAATCAAAGATCTGAAAATCCGAAGGAAAAGCAGCATTGCTGAAACCCCTTACAAATGAGCCTGCTGGAATAAAACAGATTTTGCCACTTATTTACTGTCTCCATGAAAAAAAGAAAAAAAAAAGGAAAGAGAAGTGAAAACTCCCACTATCTTCATTATTTAGGGCTGTAATAGAATTTGTTTTCTAGATTCCTGTTGTCATTTGATCAGCTTTAAAATGCAGCATTCTTATGCTGTATTCCCACCGATGTTCCTGCAAGCTCTGTGATATCAGGCACTCGGAGAGTTTGCAATATGGAAAATCAGAGACAAAATAATTAGTGGAATATGAATGTATTAGTAGCAGCAGCTCAACAAAGCACACGGGAGGAGAAATACTGATAGGCTGAAGGAATAAGCAGACAAGGAGAATGTGGCTTGCTGTTCTACCTTTCTGACACTTCTTGCCGTGGTAGCCAGGCTTGCAGGCGCAAGTCCCGTTCCTGGCGCTGCATTCCAGCGTGTGCTCCTTCACGCACTGACACTCCTCCGAGCAGCCAGCTCCAAAGGCCCACCTGGGACAGGCTGCAGCCAGATTAAAAGGAAATTAAAAGGAATCGTTAAGTCTGTAATTATGCATGAGTTATTTGAAATCGTACACTTCTGCAGAATGCAACTGCTGCAAAAAACAAGATGTTCATTTTACTTTGGGCAAATACATCTACATTCCTTTGACAGTGCCTATTGATGTGGGCGTGTAAAACCGAGTTTACATGGTTCCTCTATGAAGTGATTCACTCCGCTCAAGCAAGATGTGGTGCATGCAAGAACCAGAAATGTTTTGAAACAAACTTGGTTAAGTTTCTGAAGGAAAAATATTTGGATACAGTCCAAGACAAAAGGATTCACGAAAAAAAATAAATATCAAGCAACCATTGTTTCCATCTTGTATAGATTTTCCAAACAAAAACTGTGAGTGCAAAGAATCTTGATTACCTATTTTGTAATATTTTTAATTTTGATCTGTTTTATTCCCATTAAATTTTTGGTAGTATTCCTGAGTGTGCTTGTATACCGTGAGCACTAACATTCAGAAATATTCCCACTTCAGGGACAAAACCTAGATGTCTCCAGAAATTCATGTGGAGAGGAAGACTCATTTAGACACAAGTTTAGGGGAAAACCTAGTTTTTGTGCTTATCTTTTTTTTAATTTGCCATTGGATGGGCAGTGAAATTATCAGACTTGAACCTCACCAACTACCCAAGCTTTAACTTGACCAACCCAACCAAGCTGTAGTCCTCACCTTTATGTGTTAACAAAACTCAGTCCTTATGGCAAGGATTGTTACAGGAAAAGATAAATGGAGTTTCTAGGGCTTCCCAGAGTGTGTGGGGAAGTCCTCTCCTCCATCCCACTGTCCCTAGCTCATCACAGGGCTTGCAACCTGTGCCAGACCCCAGCATGAACACTCTAGCTAAAGACACGTGAGCAAGGCAGGTCCTGAAGCATTGTTCATTTTATAGGTCCTATGGAATCTTTCTAGGACTGTTACGATATGCATGTGTTAAATAAACAGGTCAGAAAAGTTCCTGGGACTTACTGAGGTGGCAGAAGCGCCCGTACAGCCCAGGGTCACACAGGCAGGCTCCATACAGCCGGTGGCAATAGCCGCTGTTGGCACAGTTGCACTGCTTGTTGCAGTTCTTCCCGAAGAGTCCTTTGGGACATCCTTTGAAGAGCACAAACACAGCAATGCGTCAGTTGTTAAGTATTAAAATGGACACCAAATCATCTCTCTTTTAGCAGGTGCTACAGAAAATACCATGCTTTGTCACTAGCCTGCGGCTGAGTCTCTGTGCAGCTCATCTTTGCAAAGCCCTTGCTTTTGCTCATCCATCCTCTTAACTCTTATTTAAACAAAAATCACTCACGGCGCTCTGCAGAGCTGTATTATGTCTTGCACAATGGAGGCTGTTCTCATTTGGGCCCTACGATTTACCACACATAATGACGGCTAGATAGGAATGCAGGAAGGTGGCGAGGCTTCAGGCTGACACCACACCCAGCAAGACGACAGAAATCGTACCGTCTTCACAAAATGTCCCCTGAATTCCTGGCGGGCAGCGACACTGCCCCGTGATGGGGTCGCAGGAGCCTCCGTTCTGGCACTTACAAACACTGGCACAGCCGTCACCATACGTCCCACGGGAGCAAGCTGCAGGGAGAGCAGAGAAGATGAATGATCACCCACCCCTGTGCTCGACAAGAAGCAAAATGAGACTCCAGTCATCAAAGCTGGGCAGTGAAATGCTCCCTGTAGCCAAGCGGGCTCCAAACAGTGTCATAGTCTTTCTATATAAGGTAATAAACATTCACCTAATATTTCCAACTAATTTTAAAATGACACCTGAAGTAACCAAGCTTAGCTAAGTGGAGGAATTTTTGACGTACCCACATTCTCCCCTGCATATGCTTCACACAATGCATGGGGCTCAAAAATCATTGCCTAGCAAGTACAAAGTGTGAAAATCAGAGCACAGTTTTGAACATGCGGAAATAAATATTTTAAACATCTTTTTTTTTTTTTCCCCCTCCCAAATGCTATTATAGAAATGTTGTATTTTTCTAACAGTCTCCAAAATCCCACAGCTGACCATGTAGAGAAGAGGATCCACAACAGCACAGGACTCCTTCCTAAAGCTCTGATTATTCCAGTGGAAAAAAAATAAAAAATAAATAAAAAAAATTGTGAAATCCAGCACTGCTCCACTGTTTGCAGCTTGAGAGCTTGAGCTAGCTGAGTAAATACAATTGCTGGAGTCATCAGACTTAACTGACATTTTATCAATGTACATTAAAAAACTTGACATTTCACATCAATTTCCATTTGGTTTCTATGGTGCATTATTGTAGAAATTTAGTTCCAGTTTTCTCAACTGCTTAGCTTACCCTAAACCCCTGAACTATGCTGGATTTTAAGAAAGCAAGAGAAAAGAATGCAAGCCGTCACATTGGGCTACTTCCTACAGATTATATATCCTTCATTGTCAATGCCTACTTCATCGGACTGCAGCTTTGGCTTAATAATACACTTCCATTACTCTGCGTTTTAAATGCCAAAAACAAATTCCACAACATTACACGCATAGATATCTAGTGTAAATATAGAGAAAAATGTTATTATTATTTCTGAAGTGAATGTCAATCCTGTCTCAAAATTTTTATAATCTATCCTGAACCGCTACAGTGCCATGAATACAAGTAAAAACATCTTAACATGACAGCCTGAATTGTCTTAGGTAGAGTAGAAATTATCCTTTTAATCCTCTCCCTTCCTATCCCCTCAGCTCATAAACAAACTAGATGGTGATTAAGCTGAGGATTGCTGTCTATCGATGCTAAGTAATAATTCTTTGTCATGTTTTTGCCTCATCCGTGACAGTGCAAACCTTCCAAGTACCAAGGGCCATTGCACCATCCTGCAGCAATCTGAGAGCCCCATCTCAGATCTGCAGGGAGACCTGCTCTAGGGAATCTCAGACATGCAATAGACAACTTTTGGCAAACTGCAGATAAAGAATTGTGTCTGGTACATGAAGCAGTCCCCAGCCTATCTTTCCAGTTGGTTTTGACACAGACTTCTGAACCAGAAAGATCTTCTATCAGGAGGCAAGAATAAGGAGGGGAAAATATAATTTCCAACACTAAAAATTAACAATCTCCAGAAATCTATGTTAATAATAATAATAATTAATAAAAACAGGACCAAGCTTACCAATACAATAGGGAAAAAAAAGAAGAAAAAAAAAAAAAAGGAAATGTCTTGGGATTCTATAAAAAACACAAGGTTAGCATTACATCCCCCCAGACTGTCACACCACCTGCCAGGACAGACTTCTGAAACTCAGCCGGGCAAGCTGTGGAGTGAAGCATGGCAGGCACACTGCAGCACCTGGGCACTTTGCAGCAGCAAAGTGAACGGAAATAGGCACCCACACAAGCACTTCGAAAAAGGCACTGCGCTGCGCTGGATGGCAGAGACCTCATTGCTTGAAGGTCTGTGTCATTTGTTGCAGCATCCTTTCAATTTATGCCACACTTCAATACAATTTTGAGCTAGCAGTGAAACAGCTGTGCAGAGCTTTTTGGATTGGAAGTAGAGCAGTTACTTCGATTTCCTACCTGTCTGCAGGGTCACAGCACTAGGACAAAGCCCCTACCTTTCAAATACACCGTACTCACTTTCGTTGCAGATGATGCCAGTCCATCCAGGTGAACAAACACAGCCACTGCTCTCACTGTTACATCTGCCTCCATTCATACAGTCCTCACAGCTCAAGCTACAGTCGTTGCCAAAAGTGTTATCAAGGCAAACTGAAAGGAAAAAATGCAGAAGACTCGGTGAGCACCCAGACAAAATATTTCCATGGGATCTTACCTATCCTTACAGGTGCACAAGTACAAAAAGGAACACGTACAACACTGACGATCTGAAAAAAACCCTCTTCAGGTTGTTACCTTTCATGTTGATAGCACTGCAAATATCACTGAGTCATTTCAGAAGGTGGTCCTGAATGGACATTCCCAAATTTTGACTTTAAATTGTAAAGTCTGGACAAAAGGAAACCTGGGACTTCACCTGGAATTTACTCCCTTAAATGCTGTGATTCCCCTTCAAAAAGCACTCAAAACTACTTTTAAAAATCAAAGTAGTGAAATTGCAATAAAGCTTAATAAAATTGTATATAGTTAAATGCATTTATTGGAAGAGAACCTCCTTTTCTTCTTGTGAGGCTCAGTTTTTTCTTTTATTGCAGCAGGTGTGTGCTGTGCTGTTTAAGCATAGTCGAGAGATATTTCTAACAGCATAGTTTGAGCTATTCAAGGAAAACAAAGAATAATACACATTTATCACTTCCTTTTTTTCTTCATGGATATGAAAAGGGTTAGTTCATGTGGAAAAAATAATATGAAAATGTATTCCTCCCTCCCCATCCCTGCCCTCCTCGTCTCCCTTGCACACAAATGCAAGCACACCCAGGTGAACCCTCATCTTCTCCCTTTGTGGGGTCTCTCAACAAAGGCAGAGAAAAGTAAATCTTCCTTCTTCTTTGCTAAAACACCTCAGTGAAATGAAGATCTTATCCATCCGGTCAGTCTATTGCCTAGTAAGCTTTACAGATGTGGCTGGAGGCCTTTTGGAAGGGGATTTTGAAAAACACCTGAGAGCAAGCTGGCAGATTACTTCAGCTAACAGAAAGTCAGCAGGCTGGTTGCTTTTCACCAGCAATTTTCAGTGCGAGGCCAGATTTCCTCCAGGTCTCAGCACCCAACTGTTCCTGCTTCTAAAGCTGAACAAATGCCCAGGCTTTCAGAGACATGGAGCATCCCAGCGCTCCCACTTGAAACAGGTTGAAAATGCATCCTTCAGGAGAAGAATACAAAATCACCGTTAAAAACTTGATGTTTCTACATTACAAAGTCATTCCGTTTATAGAAAATCACTAATTACTTGCATCAGTTTATTGTTTAAAGAATGTTTTTAAAAATAATATAGATTCTAGCACACAAATATGCCTGAAAGCATAAGGAACAAATTAATATTTGATAGGTAAAAGAACTTACTGAACCACGAGCAGTTTCATTCCTCCACCACCTTTTTCTACAAACCATCACATGCTGCAAATCCTCAGCTTTAGAAAAAATGAAAGTGCTCAGCTATGACTAATAATTCCCCCATTTATGTGGCTAAACATAAATAAAACATGCATAAACTGGTCAATAAATATTTGATTGAGGTTTCGGTGCCTGATAATTTTGCCCTTGGTTATCTCATTTATCAGTTTCCCAATTGGTTATCAGTGTCACTGGGTCTGGCTGGATGCTGTATGATCTGGGAGGTCTAAACACTTGTGTTCATAAAAATAAGTTAAATGTTGATTAAAGCTGAGACCAGTTCCTCTTTTTTTTTTTTTTTTTTGCCTGGAAGGCACAGTCCTCAGATGAGTAATTAGAGCTCATACAAAAATCATAGGACATACATAACAAAAGTAACAGATCTCATTCCTCCCACTGGAGGAGGAGCCTTCCCATCCCCCAAAACACCTCTTGTGGCTGCAAGGCCAAGGATCCTCCCTTCTGCCCAGGTGGATGTAGAGGGAGCAGAATTAATGCCTGCCCCCACACTTCTCCTCCTGGTCAGCCCCTCTCCACGCTCACCCCAATTCTTTCCACCTCCCCAGTTTGCTGGGATCGCAAGAAGCGCGGCTCGCTCACTCACCGACTCTGTGCACCAGCGTCAGCTCTCCTCGACGCTCCTCATCCTCCTGCGGGACCCCGAGCTCGTAGCGAAGGAGCTGGGGGGCACCTCTGAACTGCAGCCCCGGGGCCCCGGCGAACCCTGCCACAGCCTCGTCCCCACCTAGCGCTGACACAGGCACCCCGTTAGGACCACGGCCCCAAATCCTGCCCCCCAGCAGCAGCCCCACATTTATCTTTGCTTGCTTTGATGCTGGCAGACTTTCCAGCTAGTGCATTTTCTGATTTGTATTTATAAACAGTTTCTGTCATCCAAAATAGCATAAAATGAGAAAGAAAAAAAAAAATATTGCATTTCTCCTGGAAATAAACTCTGGACCTCAGGCAAGGCCATCCCTATTATTATGCCAATTTTTAAATGGAGAGTTTAATTTTCCTCACTTGAAGTTTGAGATTATTGATAGTTAATGAAAGTCATTACTCCAGCTCATTTGGGAGATGACAAATATAGAGCAAGGCTGGCTCTCCCTTTTCAAGAGCTAAAAGTTGAGTCTTAAAATGATAGGAAATCAGTTGGCTGGCTTTTTAGAGTTAGTTAAAATATTAAACTCTGTCCCAAGTTTAGCAGGGGCTAAAGTAGGTTATAAAACAAGTTGCTTGGCTAAACTCTGCTCCGGTTACACCGGCAGAAAGCCAGAATCACACCACTGACTGCAGTGGAAAACTTGTTTTGGTTCATCAGAGCAGAATCTGGCTACCTTTTTTTTTTCCACAGGATGTTAAACTTCATTAAATAGTACAAGGAAAATGTCAAAATAGTATTTATTTCTGAAAAGCAAGCTTTTTGTTTTCAAACATGTTCAGGGGATTTGAGCATTCACCTCTGAATCCCCAGCAGAGCCAATTGCTTGAGGGTGAACTTGGGACCCATGCGTTACACAGAGCTCTGCCTTGGCCACGTCCGACATGGCTCAAGCTGGGCTCCCAAAATCCCAGGATCTGTGAAAATCCCAGCTCTGAATTCACATCTGAGAACTATTTAATGGTCTCCAAGATGTAAAAATAGCTCACCGATGCAGGACCGCCTGTCGAGGCCCAGCCTGTATCCCTCCTTGCACACACATTCGTAAGAGCCCAGAGAATTAACACAGAAATGGTCGCAGCTGCCGTTCTCCAGATGACATTCATCCACATCTAGAAAAAGAGAAATGCTGGTTAGGCACAAGTGTCTGTTCGGAGGGTGCCCTGTGTGCCTGGCTGCATCTGAGGAATTGCTCTGGACATAAGAAAGCCCAATTTTCTTAGTACTTTGGGGCTCTGTTTCTCACTAGTACAGGAGATATCAAAAATGTCAGAGCAACATGGAACAGATCATTTCACCTATGCTTTTGTCTCAAGTGAAAACAGCTGCTCTAAGCTGTTAAGCTCAGCTGATGCTTTGGATATTTTGAGGGCTCTCATTTTGCAGAAGTAGTCTCTGTATCACATCAGTACAGTTGTGCGTGGAGGGGAGGAGGAGTTCCTGACTCATCTCCAGCAGCCCCACCGATCCACATGGGATGCTGGCTTATTGATGTATCACAAACTGTAAATGTCGTTCATGAACCTTATCAGACGAGCTGGCATACGCTGCCCATCCTCTCATCAGGGGAATGGCTGCAGAGCTCTGGCATGAGCTGTGAGAGGGCTTCTCACTGCTGCTGTGCTTGGTCAGACCGGCACGAAAGCACTCACCGTCACAGCCGCAGCCGTCGGTGCTGGGCTGGAAGCCCGCCTTGCAGGCACACTCGTAGCCTCCTGCGTAGTTGATGCAGAACTGGGAGCAGCAGGACGCGCCGGTCTCGCACTCGTCCACCTCTGCAAGGATGGGGCAGCTCGTTCAGCCCCCAGGCACGGCCTGGGCTGCACACACCAAGCACACCAAGGCTGTCCCCGACACGCAGCGCGTGGATAATCCACGTTTAACTACCTGCACCTTCATACATCCAACCTTATTCCACGGCAGCAGTGAAACAAAGCTCTCGTCTAACAGTGCATTTGTTGGAAGGGTGGACTGCAAGGTGCAAATGTAGCTTCTGATAGCCCCTTGCTGTACCATGCCTGTTGTCCATCCCAAAATCAGTATCATGGGCACGGCTGTGCCGGGGGCGAGGTACAAGAAGCCGCTGTCTTCTGACTGCAGGCTCCTGGCTGAGCTCAGCCCCTCCAGCCTGCCACGCTATTCAGTGGCCATGCAAGGCCCTGTTGTCGATGCTGAGCTTGCAAAACATTTCTGAGCACTACCTAGGTGAGCAACCACAGATGGGAAAGGTCAGCGTCTCAATTAACCTTGGAGAGAGTACCAACATTATTAGGAAACACGGACAGGAGAAAGAGGAGAAGGAAAATGTAATTAATCAATCGAGGTGAGGAGGTCAGCATGAAAATGATTAATGCAGGTTATTTGGACGCGGAGTGTTTTCCAGAAATGTCACCAGCTGAGCTTCTCTGCAGTTTGTCAGACGATACCTTGCTCTGGGGTTTATTAACAGCCCATTGTCTGTGCAGGAATGCACAATGTGCATCCAACAAAAGGAAGATTTTTGCTGTTAAGAGCAGCTTTTCACTTCCTCAGCCCTGCCAAGCCCTTCACCTCTGCTCTCCCTCCCCTGGCTGTAGCCAGCGAGGCGGTTCTCCCTCTGACATCTCCATTAGCAGGTCACCGCGCTGCTCTGCCTCCTCTCCTGTGCAGAAATGGGACCGAATGACCCACCCCGCCCCGCCAGGCTCTTGTCAGCTCAGGATCCACATCTGCCTCCCTTCCTTCATTTCTCACATTGTTACAGCTGCAGCATCAGCCCCCCCTTCCAGAGCTCTGCTTCCCTCCTGCCCTGCTCGTTCATCCTCCCCGCACCGGGCTTTTCTCATTGCAAGACTTCTAGTCCGTAGTGCCTCTGCACCCACCAGAGCTCCTGCTTGCTACCTCTCCTCCTGTCTGTCTGCGCTGTTCTGTGATGCCTGCTCCTGGTTTGTTTTTTCCTCTCTTCTTGGCTGTTCTTTACAACTTTAATGGCACAGTGACAGTGAGCCTCAACCAGGATGAGATACCGTTTGCACAGCAGAAGCCATAAACAACAAAAAAAAATCACCTTGTAAAATCGTGTGGAAGATGAAGGAATTTTTAAGCTCTTCTTGAAATAAAAACAACTGTAACTCTGTTGCTTCCACTTCTTCAGTGAAACTGCCCACAGCCAGGCGTGCAACCTCACCGGTGAGCATGTGATGGAAACAGAGCAACTTCCATCACACACAGCAGGGTTTGCACAGGGAACACTCCTGAAAAGCGGCCCTGATGCCCCCAGCCAGAGCCAGCCAGAGGAAGGGACAGAAAACAACCCCTCAGCCTCAGCTGTACACAGTGAGACATGGCCACGACACCTGCAATTGCACCAGTGCCCTCTTCCATTTGGGAAGCAGAGCTCCCTCCCCTCCTAATGAATGACCTGAGCAAGCACGGAGCAAGGCAAGCTGGAGCAGTGGCTGAGAAGTGCCAGAGGACAGCACTAATTAAATCCTGCAGGAGGAGGGCAGGGATGGGAGGGGAAGGGACGTCCTCGAGTGTCAGTTCTGCTGTGCACCCCCCTTGCCGGGGTGTAAATTACCTGTGCAGGTTTTGCCATCCAAGCCGAGGATGTAGCCGTCGTTGCAGGAGCAGCGCGGCCCCGCCGTCGTGTGCTCGCAGTGGTGAGAGCAGCCGCCGTTGTCGTTCTGGCAGCTATCCACGATTTCCATTTCGATGCCTTGCAGAGAAACAAATCAAAGGGATGGTAAAAAGCAAGCGCAAGAGGAGAGTCACTGGAGAATAAGCCTTGCATAAAAACGCATCCATAAACCAGCTGCTGTAGCAGGAAATATAAACTCAGCTCGCACCTACACCTGGGAACAGCGTGGTTTTGAGCCACTGAACTCAGTGTTTGTCTCCCTGTGTCCCAACAGTGGATGCTCCTGACTTTGGCAGTGTGAAGCCGGCTCGCAGGTTTGAAGCAATCTGCCAGCTACAGGAGCGTTTACAGGTGTCCTGAGATTGATGCTGTGTCTGAACGCAGCAGTGAGCTCTGCCCTCACCCCAAAGGAGAGATGGAAATATTTGAGGAGCTCAGGTGGTTCAGCTCAACCGAGCCTGCCTGTGCTTTCCAAAAAGCAGCTTTTAGCTGCAGCACAGCAGCACTTCTGTTAAGACTCTGTCCCCCAGACGAGTCAGACGGTGCCGGTATGATGCTGTCGCCAGCCCCCTTTGCCCTGACAGATCTCCCCCCCTGCCAGCAATTGGCGGGGCTGCACAGACCTCAAATATTTTGCAAGGTCTACTGGAAACCCTCATACAGGAAAGGGAACATCTGTCCATCTCCTTCCCATCCAGGTGCTCCATTCAGTGATTTCTTTAGGAAGAAAATAAGCTATAAGTTCAGTGATAACGTTTCTCTTGAATTAGCTGCATAGTTTTACTAGATGGCTAATTAGAGAGGAATTTTCCGTGCTGTGCAGGAGAGCTGAGAAACTCCACCCTAAAAGGAGCCACTGTACTTCCAGAAACGTCCCAGAACGGAGCAGCAAACAGTAGCTCTGGTACAGATGGATGGCATTTCCCCCCTTCTGCAGCTCATGGATACATCTCTGTTGGTAGTTCTCCCTTTTTGTGCTTTCCAGTCTACTTAGAAGACGGTATAAACTCAGGGAACATATATGAAAGGCTGCATCTCATCCATGCTGGGGTTATTTGCATCAGGGAGAAGAAATCTAGCCTACTGTCCAGCATGCTAAACTGGGATTTAAGAGCCCAGAATCTGACTTAATGCATTAACTTCGTCATTTACTTTGTCTTAGTTCTTCATTTGTAAAACAAGGATTTCCCCAGTGCCACCGGGGAAATGAGAGAATAAACAAAGATTGTGAATCGCTTAAACGCTGTGATAATCCTGATCATAAATACACACAGAACGTTTTTATTTTGATTGCTTGCTCCATAATATTGCACATAAGGCACAGAGAATCGCCATCCACGGAGATGAGCTGAGCATCAAGAAAAAAAATGATCAGAAAATCACAATGAAACTTAAGTGGTCTAAACCACTTTTTTTTTATGCCCATAATAGATCATTTCATATCTGTGTACTAATGGCATTCCCTTTGCCATTGCACTACTCACAGATCCCCATTACCCATGAAATAATTCTCCAGGACCTCTCTCAAATAATTGTGTTTTGTTTTTAATGTACATGGATGTTTTCAAACTGATTTTTATCCTTATTAAATACTTCTTACATGCATATGCTTGAAGAACGCGTTCCCTCTCTGGCACACTGTATGTTTTCTGAAGGAAATTCTGCTGAAAGTTCTTGCAGGGTATTATTAGATTGAACGATCGCTGCCCACCTCAGCTACAACAGGTCATACTTTTGTCTGCATTCCAGCGAGCTTATGTTAGGTCCATAATAACACCAGCTCTTCCACAACACCTCCTTTATTAATCTAAATTTACCCTCAAGGACAGCCCAGGGATAACCTCTCAGCGAGCAGCGCAGGCAGCCAGTCCCCATCTCAAGAAAAACACCGCTGCTTGAGAAACCCCACTGTGTGGGGGGAACACAACGGGGCTCCCTGATGCTTTGGTTTGGGAAATTTTAGTTGTGCAAATATTATTTTTTTCATCCTAAATCTTGTTTTTTCTTTCCCCGTTTTTAAGCATCTACTTAATACTGTCAACAGTCTCGGGGGAAACATAAGTAAACCTAGACAGATGAAGACAAGAGCAGAATGTCATCTCAGTTTTCTTCTGCATCAGATCCAATATGTAAGAAAATTGGGAGAAGGAGGGCAGGAATGAATATATTTCACAGAACAGCAATATTTTGGTAGCACTGGAACAGAATTCGCCAGGCTCAGAAGATAAACCAACAGGGATATTTGCTCTTTGAAATGCAGTAATTAAGGTCTGTGAACAGAGGCTTAGGAACGTATCAACTTGCAAAAATGGCAATAGCAGAAGATGAAGAAAATAATATTAAGCTGGAGTTTTTGCATACATTTATTTTGCCGGGAGTGCTAATCCAACTGAATTAAAAATGAAGCACGGCAGTTTGCAGATAAGATAGCCCGAAATGCATAGCTGGAAACCTGTCACTTACGGTAGCACTGCTTTCCATCAGCCCCCAGCTCAAAGCCGGGATTACAGGCACAGGTGAAGGATCCCAGAGTGTTCACACAACGATGAGCACACCTGGCTCTCCCTTCTGCACACTCGTCAATGTCTAGGAAGCAGAGAGAAAGGCAGAGACATTTGGATATTAAAATTAAAAATATCTCCCTACACCCACATGGCTGTGTTTCCAAATGTCCAGTGAAAAGAGCGTCTTGATGTTAGTCGACAAATGATGAGTCCAGGAGGACTGAGCCCACAGCATTATTCTCCAAATTAATCTGTTTGTCTAAGCCTCTCCACATGAATATTTACAACATCCAACATTATATTTACAGCATCAGTCAGAGTAACTTGTGATTTTTCCTATAACAAGAGCAATGGTAATAGGAGCCACATGAAGAACATGGAAAAACATCCTAACTCCTACTACCCTTAAATTATCACTAGGTCCTCATAGCCCTTATATTTAAATTAATGGAGCAGGAATTATCTGTTTATTTCCTGAATGTCAAATGATTTGGATTAAATGGTGGCTGGGTCTCAGTAGGTATGATGGAGACAGATCCTCTCTGTCACATCCCTGAATCCTGAAGTTTCTTCTGCATAAGTCCAGCAGGGAGGCATCTCCTGTCATCAGAGGAGTTTCATACCATGTGTGAGAAAGTAGTAAAGGTGAGGAGCTGGACATGCTCTGTCAAGCAGTCCCTTCATCAGCTTTACACTCAGTAGTCTGCATTTTGGAGTTAAATGCCATTAAAAGCATCCATCTTCCTAAAATCTCAGCTGAAGAGCATGAAAATATCTTTAAGGAAAAAAGATACGCCTTATATTAACTACTCCTGCCGTGTGGTGCAGCTGCAGACACTAACCTCTGTGTAAAGCCACATGGCACACACCTACTCGACCTCCTGCTCCCACCCTGTCCTGACGTTGCCTCCCAAAATGCGATTTATTCACTGCGACGATCCTGGGTCAGAGCGTCTCGCGCCCAGGACGGAGCTGTCAGGTGTGCAGCTCCTCACCCTTTCCCACAGCAAACCGCTTCCCGACAGTTTCTTCTCTCCATATGTGCTGTAATCAGTCCCATGCTCACGGCCCCCTGCACTCGAACACGAGTAGCTTTATGAATGCAATCAGCCTACTTGCAAAAAGAGGCCCCAGGCAGTGCAAACACCGCACACTGACTCATGAAAATTTCAGGCTGAATGGCAGCTGCTCCGAAGCTGCAATGTGTGTAGCTGCTGTTTAGGATAAAATGGGTTATTTCTCCTCATTCTGTAATTAATTGCCACTTTACATGTAGAAAATGTTGGCGAATGCCTCTAATGTTTTTTTCTTTTTTTTTTCTGCTTTTCAAATAATAAAAAAAAAGTTGGAAAACCATACCACAGCCACCATCCTGCACATATTTCTTCATAACTCGTAAATACAGCTAATAGCTAAAGCATCAGCTCCCCTGACACTTCCCTGCCCTCTGTCTCCTTCTAGCTTGGTTTCTAGATAGTGAAATACCAGCTTGAATTTGGAAAAAAAACAAAACAAAACAAACAACAACAAAAAAAAACTGCTTTGAATAAGTTCTAGAAGAGAAAAAAAAAAACAGTTGTTTCACAATATATTCACAGTTAGAAATGATGCCTAATGTTTCAAGACTGTTGCCATGAGGTCAGGAAGAAAATTTGTTCCGATATATAACGCTGCAAGTTATCTACTGCTTTAGTTCATACGTAAATAAACAGAGCTGTCAACGTGCATCCAAGACAAAACAAGGAACATGCTGACTTCAGGATTAAAATCACCGCTGTTTCCACCTACCGATCATCAGTGAAGGGTTGATGCTACTTGGAAATACTTTACTTTTTTGGTAACCTTCCTCGTATCAGTAATCCCAGTAAGGCTGGAATTGCCAAGGTGTGCACTGCTACTCACAGAAGGGTTTACAGAAAACTGAGCAAAACATCAAGGCAGGAAGTATTTTGCAAAGCAGCCAGCATTCTGTACAGATAACATGGCAATTTAAGTAGTGGTAAAATTTTGGCCAAGTTTTCCAAAAGAGGAGTTTGAAATTAGCATCGCACCCTGATCATGACAAGGCTGTTAAAAATCTGTACACAGTGAAGTCTAGGGATACTTTGCACTCCATTAAGCTGATAAACTACCCTTGCTTCGAAGCACCATGTTAAAAAGAGAAAAGCAAGTATTTTGGTCTCTAATTCCCAGGCATTTCAGGTCAGAAATGCTTTAGATCCTTTTGAAAATCCCAGCCTAAGTACAGGACTTTGGAATTCAACTTTTTAAGCTCCTTTCTTTGGAAATCTTAAGACTTCGTGATTTCTTTCTTCACAGTAGTTTCTCTATGAATATGGAAACAGTTCTCCTGCTAAAAAGCCCTTTTGAATTCCAAATAGGTTTTCGGTGACCTGGTTCAGCGTTACTTGAACCAGTTTTCCAGGAACTGTATCTGGGGCATTATTTTAAAGGGACACTACAGGAATAACACTACAGCATCCACAAATCCAGTTCCTAGAAACTATGATTGAAAAGATCACACAGTAATTGCCATTACTAAAATGGTCCCCCAAGACAATTGGTTGATGCAAATATCACAAGGAGAAATGTTGTTTCAAAACACATATATTTGTACAACATATTTCTTTCCATTCGAAGCTCAGTAAAGCCAGAGCACAGAACAATAACCTTCTTCCCAAGAAACAGTCCACATTTTCTTACCTAAGCAGGACTTCTTGTCTGCAGAAAGATAATGCCCTGGATGACACTCGCATTTGGCAATTCCTCTCTCATTTTGACAGATTTGTGAGCATCCTCCATTCCCACTTGTGCAGGGGTCTATCACTGAAACCAATTAGAGCACACTGTCAACTTAAAGGTCATACTTGTGCCTGAAAATGGGCTTACCTGCCATCGTTACAGCTAACAACTAAGATTACGGTAGCCGTAAAAGATTAGACTGAAAAAAATATTTGACAGAAGTCAGTGTGGAGTTAAATCCATTGTTTTCCTGTGTGCTATTTTCTCTGTTGTTGGACAGCATTTTCCATAGAGCAGCAGCACTTTAAACAGTGGGCAACTGTGGTTGTGTTATTCCTTGGAAGCAGGACAGGAAAAGTACATTTCATCCTTATTTTGCCATAACTGAGCAGATTTCAAGAGCTGCTCTAAACAATAGCAATTAGCACTCCAGTACGTGTGAACCAATAAACACATACAGTGGTGGAGTTTGCCACAGAATAATGTGTATTTAGAAGCCTCTACAGAAAGGACATGCTGAAGAGCCCTCAAAAGATTTCTTTCAGTCTAAAAACATATGGCATTAATGTTGTACGTCAAGATTTTTTACTTTTTTCAACAACAACATACCATTTCAAGGATAAGCTGTTCTAAGTGGCAAGTACTTAGAAACACGTTTATAGAGTGCCTGCAGAAGACTCCACCTCAATGCCTTCACTGTGGCTTATGTGCTTTTTCCTGGAATGCAATCCTGCTGGAAGCATGTACCTGCCCAAAGGCTTTGCACACTTAAAACTGTAATTCACTTTTAACTTTTTACTAATTACTGTCTGCTTTGAAACATTTGACCAGTACTCCTCACTTGCCTCCAGTTTGACATCTCCTTCATTGATTATCTCAAGGTCTGTGCAAGGTAATTTCTACATGAGCACTGGGAGGAAAGTCAACATCAGTTGAAGGTGTTTTCCCCTAGACCTTGCAGCTTGGCTCTTACTTTGGCTAACCCCATAAGTAAATATATAGAATTAAGTAGAAGAACTGGCTAGGAGAAAAAGACTCTATATTTTATATAGAGACATTTAATTTTTTATTTTTTTTCCCACATCCTCCGATTTTTGCTTTCCCATTCCATGTAGCCAGTGGAAATTTGTGCCACTGTTGGCAACAGAGGACACGGCCCCAGAATGCCTCAAATCCCCTCGTTTCACCTCCTGGCATCTCAAGAACATAACCATTCAAGTCTTCAGGCTGAGTGCCTGACATGATAATATAAAATAATACCACTGTTAAGGATTTAGAACTGAAATTTTCTGTTGGGCTTTCAACACGATAGGTTGCAAATAGGTTTCCGAGGGACAGCAGCACTTCATCCTATGTGACACTTTCAAAGCTGACAACTCGGCTCTGCAGTTAAACAGTTTGCTGTCTACAAAGGATTTAGCTTCAAGCAAGAACTCGTTCCCTGGCTGATATGAAATATTGAGTTATTTGCTGATTCTTTTTTTTTTATTTGGATAAATTAAATGAAATCACTATCAAACAGCATCTGTTAAACCTACATATTATAAAGGTTTTCAGAGCATCCAAAGCTTTAATTTGAGAATGATTGCAGCATAGAGTAAAACTTGTAATAATCTGTGACATGACAACAAGCAAACAACAAATTATAGGGTACTCGGTAGTAAAATGTAGTAATTTGAATAAAAATAGCAGCCTTGGAAGTCCTTAGACAAGATAAAAGTTTGTAAAGGAAAGAGATTTTCAGGACATAAAGCAACCACAGATTGATTTGTTTTACTTGCTTTTGTTTTACTCTGACATATCTGTTCCTTGCTGTCACAGGCAGGTTTTAAGAAAAGCTAAAAACAACTCATTAGTGTTCTTTCTCTGACACATTTGGCTCTTACTGTTTGACTTGCTAACAGTATTGGGTAACAGACTCCACCCTATGAAACTCTATCCCAAGCTGTTAAACACTGGCCAAAAAAAAGTAAGACAACAAACAAACAAACAAAAAACCTTAAAACCATTCATTATCCTAGCTGCCTTAGGACATCCAGGAATCTCGTCTGAAAAAGCCATGCGGATGCATTGATCTGGGATAGCAGCAATGTGTTTGATAAAGTGTACGTGCCGCATGTGCTGCAGACCCTTCCAGAAAGACACTGCAAGGTTGCAAAGGACACAGTCTAGTTCTCCAGTCCTACCGTATGTCATCTAGAGCAGTGAAAGAAAGAGAACTGGGTCTCATCAAACTAGTTGGCTTGCTCACAGCAACCATGATTTTACACTGGAGAAAATATAAAGTGGTCAGGATTCAAAATCCCTTCCCTGGCAGAGGGAGAGTTGGTGGTAGAAACTGTTTATTTATACATAGGACATTCAGAACAGGTTGTGAAAGATATTTGTTCCTACCACTCCTAGGTAACCCAATGAAGAATTCGCTCCAGCAGGCACCCCTTGTGGGATGTACACCCCATATCCCTTATGCAAGCATGAAAGCCACTGCAGCTCCCACCTATACACCCCTCACCTATAGCCCCTATCTCAGCACTTCACTGCTGTGTGTCTCCATCCCTTGCAGTGGCTGTGCAGGGTCAGCTGCACCTTGCCAGGCCTGACTTTTTCTGGGCTGCCTCATGGGGTGCTTGGGTGCCGAGTCAGCCCCCGAGCAGCCCATGGGGTGGCTCCCATTGCAGCACAGCCATGGCTGCTGTAGTAAATGCCCTCATGATCCTGCAGTTTCTCCGTCCAAACTAGCACTACAGCAGCCATCCTTTCTGGTTGGAAACTAAAACCAGCCAGGCTTACCTCCTCCCACCTCTTCTATTTAGAACATCTCTAATTGCCAACCCAAATGTATTCATGGCCACTTTAGGCTCATTTGTTCCTGTAAAAATCTTGTCCATCAGCTTAACTAGCACTTTTCTCTCCTAGGTGTTTACTCGCTAAGGTATTTATGGGATGAAAGCATCCCACTCAGACTTCATTTTGCCAGCCAAACTCCTCTTGTAAGACAGATTCCTTTTTCTGACCACAGCTGCTCTCCTGCAGAGGTCGGGCCATTATATTTCGATTTACACTATCCTAAATGCAGATAACCAGCATACAAACAGGCTCCAAACAGGGCTCTGTTGTTCAGTAATTACTGGTGATGAACCACTGCCTTCAGTGGGTGCCTGACCCTCATCAGCCCCATGGCGCGATGAAGCCAACTACCACAGCCTCTGCGGCAACTCCAGCATCAGTGGAGGAGCAGCAAGAGGCATGGAGTCAGCCTGGAGAACAGAGCAGGCCCCCGGTGCCCTGTCCCCACCAGCACTCTCCCTTTCTGCCTCTTTTTGCTAATCCTGGGGACAAAACACAGCCAGCAGGTGGGAGGCCGTGAGGAAGGGAGCGGGCTGGGCCTGCCAGCGGCCATGTGGGGAGGCCAGGCCTGGAGGCCAAGCACTGGTTGCACACAGCGGGAGCTGGAAGCGAGCTGAACAGCAGGATTTACTCACACTTCATACACAGCGCGTAAAAACCCCCGAGCAGAAGAGGAGCCATATGGAAACGGTTTTGTGACAGGAATTTTAGCGCAATAAATCCACAGATTTGGCCCTATCTTTCGCTGGCATATTCGAGGGTGCAATGTGTGTGCGCTTGTGTTGGCGAGGGGAGGTTTGATTTAAAAACTGATGAATTTCTTAAAATATAGAAGAAAAAAAAAAACAACAACCAAACCCAAAGGTAGCATTTCTGTTCTGCTTGTGCATGCTTCATAACCTGAAGGGGAGGATGAATGAATCAGATCGCAATTAGGAGCAACGTAAGCCAAAATCAGTTAAAGAACAGACTTCACGTAGAATAAAATATGGAGGCCAACTCTGCACACAACTTGGTGAGTAAAGAGGCTTACAGCACGACCAAGTTCCTCACCTATCTCATCATGGTCAGTGCTGCAATCAGCAGCCAGGGGTCTGCAAGACCAAAAATGCCTTTGTGACTATCAACCTGAGGCAAACTTCACACCTCAGCTACATGCCCATTTCAAATATATGAACATCGGTAAAAAACACACAATCCTGTAATTTTTACAGCCTTACGGAACGGCTTTCATCGATGCACCTGTTCCCGTCCCCTGCGCCGCTCTCCCTGGCGGTCACAGTGCTGGTTTGACAGCGTCCCGCGTTGGCGAAAGCCGACGACTGCAGCAAGAGGCAGGGAAGATCTGAGAGCTGCGATGCTGACTGAAGTACAGCCACCCTTTGATCTGACAGCAGCAAAGCACTTGAGGATCCGCCGAGGTAAGGAGGGAAAAACAGAGCAGCCCCACTGGCACTTGCCCGTTGTTTTTTTTTTGTCTGTCCCCGCTATTATTGATTAAAAAAGAGGAATTGTCTTTCAAGCTGATTTCCTCAGCCTCATGCATAGGAAGCAGTAAAAGATGGGAATCACAGGCTCTGCAAGACTGCAGCATGAACATACAGAGTAAACAACAAGGCAGTTTTAACTCCTCTCTAAAGATACTTCTTCTTTTACTCAGGCAAATTAATATTCTTTTTTGTTCAGCATATATCCCCAGCCTCTGGAGAAACGTTTCTCTTCCTGCCAAAGTATGTTAGCACACACCCACACCTATTCGCACGCTGAATATAAAAATAAGATCGATCATCTGAACCTGTTATTGTGCTGCACGTATGTACGTGAGTGTGTACATGACTGCATCTATATATATTTTAACAGCGGGGATGTACTATGTTTGCCACGAGGAGCTAGAAAGATTATTTGATCCTCCCTGGAAGGCATCAGACTCCGGATCCACTGATGTCAGCAAAAATCTATGACATTTATATTAGCAATATTAATATTAATTCAGTTATCTGTCATAGACATTAAGGAAGAGTTAACCACAAAAGCTGCTGTAGGAGGCATTTCACCCTGTACTACCATCAGCAGACAACTAGTTGCTGCACTGACTATGTGCTAAAAAGAGAAGCAACTTTTTTCATTGCTATTGACTCTTGATGCCCAGAGAGACACCTGGCCCTGCTGTCTGATCTGATCCCAGGACGAGGCTGCACACCTCCTGCCCAGCCAGCAAGGCAACCGAAAGCAGCTTCAGTTTCCATGAGGGAGGCACTGACACACGCGGAGCTTCCCGCTTGCTCTACATTTGTTTCCAAAGACCCATTTTTCAGCAAGAATATTCAAATAAGATGGAAAAATTTCAGGACGTGAAAAATGCCTTAAGTCGACTCTAAGCGACAGAAGAGATGCCTCAAATTTTAAAGGTGCCATTTTCTCCCTCCTCTTCTGGACATAAGCCAGTTTGGAAGTGGCAGCAGAGAAGCTCTGCCACCTGTGGTGCCTCATGGCACAGAGGCAAGGGGACAGTGTCACGGCATGTGGGGACAGTGGTGGGAGGCCACACGCAGGGAAGACAAGGACCTGTGGATGGGCTCCTTCTCCAATCCTATGCAATACAGATGCTGACGTCTATAGAGAAAAGCGAGTTGTCTGACTCCAGGAGGAAATGGCTTTTCCAAAAAATTCTCAGCAAAGAGTTGTCAAAGCCCCTGGAGCCACCAGGTCGTGTGGCTACCTTGGCTGCTATCTGGGGTGTTACCGAGCCATACAGTGCCAAAGAAAGCCCCAGAACGATCCCCACTCTCTGTTCAGACCATTGCTCAACTCCACAGCAGCACTGCTCACACTGGAGTGTCTCTTAGTGTGCAGCAGAAAGAAACTAGGCTTTGGCCTTCAACATACATATCTCAACCTATTATTACCTATAGTAACACTCAACATTTAAAAAAAAAAAAAAAGAAAAAAAAAGGAGTATGAAACCCTAGTTAGACAGTAACCATGGGGCTAGAGCAAGCACTCTCCTCAAGCTTTTATCTTCCATCACCTTAAATCCAACCTCACGAATGACAAGAACTGTAACCAGATATACTGTACTTTTACTTGTGTGACAAAGCAGAGTAGAGATTTGTAGAGATACCTTCTTTGTTGCTTCCTCTACTAAGACCCATAGTGTGTGGAAGTCTCCACAAAGAGCTGTTTCTCAACAGCTCTTCTACATAAGCCAGGCATCAAAGATAACAGCTGGCACCAGAGATGAATTGGGCTCTAAAACCTCTGTTCTGCTTTCACTTCTTGGAGTTCAAACAAGAATAAATTCCAGTGAAGACAATGAATTTACATCAGTCCAAAAACACAGCCTGGTACTATAATAAGTATGTTTTCTGTCTGATTTTCTGCTTTCCAGACATCAGTTGGTTAAATTTTAATGAAGTTAAATTCACTACATTAACATAATCAAGGCATTGAAAACAAACCAGAAGAATTGGGCAGTGTTACCCTTGGTTATTTTAATTACCTGATTTGTAGTGAATGTTCAGACTGGCACACATATCTAAAAATGAATTCAGTATCGAGCAAAATCTGAGGGACAAAAAGCTAAAGAAGAAAAGGAACATTGAAAAAGATGGGATTGTGGCACAACACAAAGTATCAGAGATCATCAAAGGATTCAGGAATAAAACATTTTACTTTCACACACTGTTCATCATAAACCACGTTAGAAATCATTTGCCTTGGAGTACAAGCAAAAGAGTGCTATGAGGATCATGCTGGTGATGCAGGGATGGACTACCAGGGACAGTCGGGATCCCAGATATGCTGTGATGATGCAGTAGCAGGACAGGACTTGCTATAAAGGGTTTGTAACAAAACTTCAGTAATCTTCCATGCAATCGTATGGAAAAGTAGCTTATCGAAGACCTTATCGTAAGCTTAGGGAGACCTATTTGAGTCTTCAGATGTGGGCTGAATATCTTATAAGAAGATAGATCCACTTCCTTATGTATGGGAGACTTCCAAGCCATCTAGGCTGCAAAATCTGCTTCCCTCAAGTCATTTTGGCACTTTTGCTCCTAGAAACATAGGATTGCCAAAAAAGAAAAGAAGACGTGGAAAGAATGAACATAACAGAAATCTGGGCTGCATTCATCTCAAAAGCCTGTATAAAGGGATGCGTGTTTCTTATTTCTGTAGCTGAGATAACAAACTTTCATAACAGCTCATTTCCAGAATGTGGACCCTTTTTATTCTTAGTATGTTTGAGAGATTGTTACATCCTCGAAGGTATTCATGGAACAAATATTATTGCTAATGCAAGCCTTATTTGAAATGCTAGATGTTCTGCTCAGCTGCACTAGGCCAAAGGAGACATGCACTATTCCTTTTACTTCTTGATCGGATGAGTGCTCAAAAATGCACATATAAACCAGTGCAGCAGACCAGGGAAACTCTCCATCCCCACTAGTATCTGGTTAGTGCAAGCAGCTAGTGCCCAAATCCCAACGCTGGGCGCTCCTGGAGAACGGTTTTATAAAAAATGCTTCTCTTCTCCCTGTCCTCATCAATTAGCATGTCTTGTGCTCCAATGCACAAGAGTTTATTATATCCATTTATTTTGGTGTCTCGTCTAAATAGCTAAATGGAACTCAATATTCCCTGCTCAGTATTGTGTGTATCCATTATCATGATAGCAGCTCTCTCCGACTTCCTTCTGTCTCTCATCTTAGGATTTATTTCTGTTCCTCCTTGATAATTTTGGAGATGCTGTGAATAAACCTGAACATTATATTAAGTATTTTTAATAACTCCTTTTGAATGCTTAAATTCCTGAATTGAAAACTCACTTTCTGATAATGTTCATAGCTAGGAAAACTCAAAACTAAGCTTCTGATTATTTGCGCCACGAGAATACTATACACTGCCCACAGAAGGCTAGAAGAATCCCCACAATACCTACTTTTTGTGTTTTATCATTCACTTCTCTCAATCTTCTTCCCCTTAAGCCACGTTAGTCATTTTTAGTATGAAATTCCCTCTCCACTACTGCTGAAAATGAGACTATTCAGAGAGTAATGTAATTCAGACATCACATCTTTGCATTCTGTGTCTTCCCTGGCCATACCTCATCAGAGAGAGATGGATTTTTCGTTTTCTTTTTTTCTTGTAATTCATAGGAAAACACTACATAAGTATAAACCATTTTGCTTTAGCTTTAAATTCATTTATTTATTTCACACTTATGTTTCCTTACTCATTCCCTCTCCAACTGACACAGCCAAAAAAAGATTCAGACTTCACCGTAATTTTAATTATGGTTAATTTCCAAAATGCTGAAAGTCTTTGTATTTGGTAAACCCAACAAACCTAAAATGGTAAGTTCCTTAAATTAAAAACAAAACAAAACATTATTCCCACAGCCTGAGTATTAGTACATCTTATGTCCTAGTTGCATCAGTACATTTACTGCTGAGATAATATAAGAAATGACTGATGACATATTTGGCTGATTTTAAGTACAACCAAGGGAATTCACGCAAGAACTGAGACAATGACAAAATTGAGAGTGAATTTATTCTGCAGATGTGACCTGACCATACTTGACCATTCTTCTCATATTGCCTAAAATCAGGCTTAAAAAATGCTCAGAATTGGAAAAATGTTCTCATTTGACGGGAAGACCTTACATTTCTTTAAAGCCTGCTTCAAAGCAAAAAATATTTTCACACAATTGCATCACAGAAACACTGGATGACGTCACTGCTTTATTCCCGAAAAAAACAGACCGATTTTGAAAATGTCTGATTTCTTGCAAACTACTTGAACCAGACAGGATAACGATATCCTTTGTGAATTAAGCAAAATTCAGACTGGGAGAGTCTACAGACCTCCACATTTATGCAAAACCATTCTTTTCCCAGTGATGTGCTTGTAACGTTTACTCACGTAAGCACGTGCGCCCGTCGGTGTGCAGTCTGTATCCCACATGGCACTGGCAGTAGAAGGAGCCGTGGGTGTTAACGCAGCCCTGCTGGCAGCCTCCGTTCACCACTGCACACTCGTCCACATCTACAGAGAGAAGACAAATGACTGAAATGACAAGACAGCCTCAGCAAAGCCATACCCCGGTTCTCCTGGAGCATACGTAGCTCATACACAATGCCACCACGATGTTCCGACTGGAATTTTTTGTTTATTTATTTTGCTGCCGCACTCTAAACAGAGCAAAGAAAATTGAAATTTTATGGCGTTTTTCGAAGTTCCCACGGGCACTTTCTCTGTAGTCTCTACTTCTGAAGCCTTTGTTAATTAGAGTGGTTTGTGACGCCGGTGTTTCCTTGGGGGCAAGAGAAAAATACAAGGAGAGAATGACAGTAAGTTAACACGCCTGAGCTTGCAGGTACCGCTGGTCAAACATTTGGCTTTCACAAAAATTTGCTGTATGAAGATCTCCTTTTGCATCAGGCCTTTAATCTCATTAGCAGGACTGCTTGGGGGTACAAGGACATACAACTGACATGGGAAAAAGACGTGCAAGAGCAGAGCTGATGCTCTCAATCAACGGGAGCTTTGGCACTACATATGAAAAGAAGGTTGATTTTGTGCTATGTTTTCTGTGGCTCCAGTCCCCTGGACTTTTTTGTGTTTCCCTGAACTATCCCTATCTTCTTCTCAGGTGACCTTCCTGACAGGGAGGTGATTCCCTGACCATACGTACTCAGCATCAGCAGGCATCGCTCTGTATTTCACAGTTTAGGGGATTACATTCAGTCAAATGAGGACAGAAACTACCATTAAACCAGCTGGAGACTGTGCTGGAACGTTTCACCTGAAAATGAAGACAAGGATGGACAAAAAAGACCTAGAAAAGTTGAAGAAAATACTTGAAGGTTTAGAAGCAATCCACAAAACTGCATTTTCAAAAGTACCGCATAAGCAGTTTCTGCATCTTTTCTGCAACTCCAGAATACTGTAAATAGCATTTGATTGGCATGTTGATACCATTACCTTAAAAATTGACACAGAAATCATTGAAAATAAGGGCCAGTTAGTTCATTCCCTGACAAAATTTCACCTGGGAGATACTTGTCTTGGATCTGGCTGTCCTTTCCTCCACAGCCCCCAGGGATGGCAGGTCCACATCCCTCCATCCCACCCAGGGGCGATACTGGTGCCAAATTATGCTGACCACTGAACACATCCTCCCGTTACCGAACCCTTCTGCAATATGCATCTAGAAGGGCCCCTCCATCACTATTTATTTATTTATTTATTTTAAAGACTGACACGGACTGAACTGCCCTTTGGATCACATTCTGAAACCATCCTCAAGGATTTACCCACCCAAAAACACCCAAGCAGGTGTGCATGAACAGACAGGGATGGAAAGAAAGAAAAGAGTGGCTCCAAGGAGAGGCCAGCCCATAATTGCTGCTGCAGGGAAGGGGCCGGCCGCAGAGCCAGGAATGTGGAGCAAAGAGGAGCACGGAAACAAGAGCACAAAGAAGTTTTTTTTTTCCCCCTGGTGTTGCACTCGAGGAGCAAGGGGTCTGGCTTTCATATTTTTGCTGTTGATATATCTGCTTTGCATTTAGCTTTTATGGTTTACATTTTTATGCTTTTATGTTTATTCCCTTTTAGAAAATCTAATCAAAATTAAATGAAAAAGGAAGTTTTAAAGATGACTTGGAAACGCACAACATCCTGGTCCTCAGGAAATGTATTTATAAAGTTAAATTTTAATATTTCACATGTGAATTTCACCCACCTAAAGTGAAGTCCTAGTGTTGACTAGTGCTTAAATTCAGACCATTTGCTAACGTGTGCCACTTTTTAATCCTTCTGCTATATCTTTCCTTTCATCAGACTGTATACTATGTACATTTCCTACTGCCTGAAGACATCTGGAATACTTTTTTGAAAACAGAAGTTTCATTTTTTTAATGTAAACAGTAAACAGAAAACATTATTCATCTTGTTGAATACTATGCCGTTAAGAAACACTCTGCTGAAAAATCCCAGGATGAAATCAAAACCAGGAAACTATTTGTCTTGAGTAGCAAAGAAATAAAATAAGCAAAAAGGCTCAGAAAAGTATACCAAGGAAGCAGCTGAGCTATATAGTACAACACAATCTAGTATTCATACTTTCATAAATTTAGTTATTTTGAGCTTCAATATATATTAATTTTATAAGCTACAGTCAGGCACAAAATTTCTCTCTGTACCAAATACAGCTTTAGTTTAGGATATCAGCACTTATAAGGGAAAAAAAAGAGCCAAGATAATAAAAAATGAGCAATTAGAGTAAGTGCTATTTGTCAGAGCTAGGTCTGTTTGGGCATTTTAGTGCCTGGATTTCCAGGAGAGCCCCCAGGGAGCTCAGCACTGGCTGCAGCCCCCATCACCCCGCGTGTCCCTTGTCCTGCTGTGTCCCAAACCATTCATGTCCCCACATCACCAGGACCCCCATCTCCCCGTCGTTGGCTTTGCTTGCCTGGCAGCCCACCCTTCTGAGAGGTGTCCCCAGCCTGTCTGGAGCCCCATAGGGCTCCGTGCTTCAGCACCGGCCCTGGTGGGCCCAGCTTTAGGTACCCACCACCAGGAGGACAAAAGCAAAGCCAAACAACAACAATATCGCCACTGCCATCCTCCCGGGAGGCCCGAGCAGCGAGGCCGATGGCAGGCGAGGCCTCCAGCCCGAGGCTTTCTCTGCGAGATCGATATCGTCAGGACTAAATGTCAAAAGATGCTTTCGCGTGCTGAAGATATAATCAAGAAAAATGCAACATGCAGTCGCCTTCGGTGCCTCCTACATCTCCGGGACAGGAAACAACGCTGCCCCCAGTTACAGAAGAAAAATGCCTTAATTATTTTGTCTGGGAAGAAGGCCGAGAAGCAGCCACTAACCTAAATGCTTGAGCTGCACTTGAGAGTTTTACAAGTGTAACCTATTTGCACTCTTACAGTAAAATAGCTGCACCTGTCAAGGACAAACACACCAGAAAAGCAACAGCTTACACTGTCAGAGGTGTACAAGTGGCCATTTCTTTTTCTATGTGGAAATAGCTTTAGAAAAGTAAAATTATAAAGTCCGTCCCCATGGGATTACAGGAGATTGCATCTGTTTAACTACATACTATAATTAAATTTGGATTAATTCCTGCTGCAGATCAAACTGAAATAGCTATGTGCTCAGCTTTCTACAGTTACATTCAGGATGCTTATCTGAATAACCAGAATTTCGAGCCATTTGGGGCCATTTCGAGCCATTTCTTATTGTCAGTCACCCTGTGCCGAAAGCAGTTGTGCGTCCCCAGAACAGGGGCAGACCCATAGAGGCGAGAAGAGAAACAAGAAATTTGTACTCCCCAAAGCTATCTCAAGAAGGGGATTACACTACTGGGTGAACAAAGCAGTCAGGACGTGAATATCCTCTATATCACCTGTGAATTTCAGCAGAGAGAGATGCCTTTTGGTGAGATTCGCCAGTCCCTGCCCTCTGTGCTGTACACACAGCACATGCCCTGCTGCCTGCTGCTGCCAGCCCACCACCACCTGCCCGAGGATTGTGTCCCAATTTACCCACTGATCATCAGGAACAGTCTTATGGCCAAGCCAAAAGTCAATCCTACTTGTCGCCAGGATGCAAACTGCCTTTGCCACCACAGCCTGCAGCTTCTTTTAGTTCTTCAGGCCCCTGAGTGATGGTGTGCTGCCTGTTCATGCACCCTAAACACAGAGAAGAGGCTGTGGCATGCAAATCCCAGGGCTGCTGCCAGCACTGTGCCCCTTCCAGGGCAGGCTGTACCGATGGTGTTACAGATTTTAAGTCCTCTGTACCCCTGAGTGGGGGTTTTGCTGATTGTGAAGTTTGCCCCCAACCGATTTGATGGGCTGCTTTGGCAACAGGTTGATTTCCCTGCCAAAAAAACTGTTTAAACACAGAGCTGTGAGATTGCTTGTTTGGAATTCAAGGTCATCACGTTGGTGGCTCTTGTACGCAGCTTGCAGGATTTTTTTTCATACTGTTACTTAAAATGCTTAGGAGCAGCTATGATCAATCAGTTCCTTAAAAATAAACAGAGAGCAGCGCTAGACACAGATAATTAGTGGACCTGCAATTATGCTTCTATAAAGGAAAAGGAAAAAAAAGCAGACCGTTGCCAGATCAATTCCCCACTAACAGCAGCTTAGCTTTTTAAGCCACTAAGAAACATAAACAGGCAAAGCTAAAGAAAGCCCCCAAAGAGGGAGAAAACCCGTTCTGACAGCAGGAGGGCTGAGCATTTGCAGGAGCCTCTGCAGCACGCGTGGGTCAGGAGCAGGGGCAGCCACAGCTCCCTGAACAGGGGGAGCTGGTGGGCCCAAGGCACTCACACTTGTACCAGCTCCCTCCTTAAACCCAAACGTAACAAATATCTGCACAGTCACGAGCCTCCAGAGGGAAATATATGCCCAATATACTAACCACTGGACAAGCACTTCATGCAGTCCAAAATCCCTTTTGCTTTTAAATCCTTTTTTTCTTTCTTTTTTTTTTTTTTTTCTTTCAAGTGACTGCAGTCTCTGCGGTCTCTACTCCCACAATGAATGCATCATCCTCTCTCCCACAGGTCTGCAGCGATACATCCCTGACCCTCTTTCTCTTCTGTAGTTATATGCAAATACTTGAGCTCTGGTGCAGGACAGCTGCCACTTCAGATCTCAAAGAGCCTGCAGCAATACTGAAAGAAAGGCCTGCTTTTCTTCCTAATTCAGTTTACTTTTTAGGGTAAAGTGTTCCTCATAAGGTCATTTTTTGTAACTAGAGCTCGAACATGAGCCCACGTCAGACGTGCCGACAGCCCCAGAGCAGACATGAAGGGCTTGTGCACGTCAGGAGGGAAGGTGACTCCTCAAGGGGACATCTTATGGGGCAGAATAAACTTTTTGTTTCACATTAGCACCGTTAGCTCCCTTCTTATGCTTGCTACCGCAGGAGTGCTACAGAAAGACCTGAATGGCTGTAAATTGCCAAAGGAAAGCTGCTTCCTACCAGACTCAACCCAGCTGTAAAGAACAACATG